GCCAGAACCTTCCGAGTTTCGGTTCTTGACTTTTTGTTAGGCTGCGGCGTGAAATTTCAAGCTGGAGAAGGATGGCAACAGAGGGTCGTGGAGAAGAGATACAAGGTCACTGAGAAATGGCACACTTTGGCAGTGCACACTGCTTGGGGAGACAAATGTCGTGTGCAGAGATTTCAAGACGAAGATGACGATCGTATATATTTGGTCGCAATGGCTTGTCAGCAGCAAACCCACAAGACAATGCCGTGCTTTCAAAATCTCGAAATGTGCGGGTGCGGGGCAGTTTGCAATCTGCGACACGGCTTAAATGAGAAACACGCCAGACAGCTGATGGTGCACGCTTTCCAGTACTTGCAGCGCGCCGACATGGCACGCCGCGGTCGCGCATCTGACGCGCGGGGCGAGGATGGCTTGGGTTTCATTCAGTCCTTATTGGAGAAAATAGGTTACCAATGCCCTGAAAATGAGCAATACCATTTGAACCCGGAGCGACGACTGCAGTTGTTTCACCAGCCCCGATGGTTTCCACGTTTCTATTCCAAGGAGTGGCGAGCCCGGTTGCAACAGACGGCTTTTGAGGCACAAGCACCATGTCCGGACGAGGAAGAGTATCGATGCTTCAGTGCCGCTGAGCGTCAAATCATCAAAGACTTGGTGCGTGCGCAAAACCACGCGCAGCGAGAATTTGAAACCTTACTTTTGAATTTGAACAAGCCACCAAGCACGACCCCTCGTAGCAACAAAGCATGATCAGTACGCTGTTACGAGCTGCTGGTTGTTGAAGAAACAATGCTCCACCATGTGTGTGTCGTTCAGGTCAGTACGCTGTTAGGAGCTGCTGACTTACAACGGCCGAGAAGATTTGCTATGTTGCGTGAAAAATTGTTACGGGGGAAGCGGGTCGGGTGTTTTGGAAACCGAAGCAATGCTTGCTGAGCACCTTGACGCCCTGGGTCCGTGTCTGTCATGTTTCACAATGCAGATATCGGTTTTGGGATGGTTGGTTCTTGGAACGTCAACATTGGTGGTTGCCTAGTTGATTTTGTGCTTATGTAACGTGAACACAAGAAATAATCGATTCTCACTACATGGTATCCGTACATAGTGAGCTAGAAACATTGAAGTCAAGCCGTCTTTGGATGATGATGTTTTTACCCTGGTGATGAACTTTTTGCAATTCGGACATCATGATCGTGACACTTCATGGTGCTAGACTTTGTCAAAGATGTAGATGTAGCGAATGAAAGAGGACCTGTTTCTTTATGTTTTTGAGTTTCTGAAGTGGTGCCATTCGAAAGCTGCAAGCTGCGTGAGATGTTGATGACCCGTGTTTGTCTTTGCTCTTGGCGCTAACCTTGCGTGCGTAAGCAATACATGATAAGAAGATGACATATGTCCTGTTTGCATGATTCCATGATTATGTCGATGCATGCTCACGGTATTCACGGGCAATCATGTCTACATCAGTCAGGTTCTTAGTCATTTCGGAAATATCGATGCACATGACTTTTCACAGTCAGACTAACTGCCATCGACTGCAGTTGGCGAAGTACGTCGTTACGGACTGCTCGCCCAAGCCATGGCGGTACCTGGGTTTGTTCCGATTACGGACCCTCTGCTACAGAATTTTAAAACTTGTATGCGAGAACACCTGAGGGTGCCGGCCGTCTTGACTGTGACGCAATGCATTGCATGCCAGGCACCTCGCACAGTTTCGCACGCGGGACGTTTTGAGCACGAAAGGACTGGCATCTGTGAGGCTTGCTGGGACACTCTGGTGGGCCAGGATGATTCTGCCAAATTGCGGCAATGCACTCGGTTGCTCGACGCCAATGCGGCGGACCTCTTGATGACCTGGATCATGGTCAGCAAGACGAAGGTGGGCGGTACAATGCATCTGGAACCACACCAGGCGCGTATTTTGGTTGCAGTCGTGACTGGTCAGGTGCCGTTGCCGGAGATGTGGGTCGCGGGACTAGAACCGCCACCGCTGGCACCTGCACACCCACCTGCGCCTGCGCACGCCGGCTGACTCTTCCATGTTGTCTTGCGTGCGTCGTTGCGGACCGCGCAAGACGTCCATGCTGTGTGCCTTCCATGTTGTCTTGCGTGCGTCGTTACGGACCGCGCAAGACGTATATGCTGTGTGCAGGAACGTCTAACTTCTGCGGAACCATGCAGGACATCTTGTAAACGCCAGTCCTCATGCATCATTTTTTCTGTGACTCCAGAGAGCAATGGTTTTCCGAAGGGGTAAAAAATGGATCTTCAAAATGGTTGGTAATGGATCTTCAAAATGGTTGGTTCACCCAAGCTTAGCAGCCTCTACTTCCTACATTTGGCCTAGCCTTTCCAAAAGCCAGTCCGAGCTTGGCGGTATTTCCCTGAAAACTTTTTGCTGGACATGCCAATTGCAGTTATTTAAGGCATCATGCAGTTTGGGCAATTGCTGCACCAAGGTAATGGATCTTCAAAATGGTTGGTTCACCCAAGCTTAGCAGCCTCTACTTCCTACATTTGGCCTAGCCTTTCCAAAAGCCAGTCCGAGCTTGGCGGTATTTCCCTGAAAACTTTTTGCTGGACATGCCAATTGCAGTTATTTAAGGCATCATGCAGTTTGGGCAATTGCTGCCAACCTTTTTGTGCAGCGTAGTTGCACGCACAACTAGTGTCGACCGGACCACCTTGCTCTCACGGTACTTTCTCTCGAGAGCTCTGTGGGTGGCAATGAATAGGGAATGTTGGGAAAATACTTAGGAAAAGGCCAGGTTGAGTGCCATTGTGTGGGCTTTCCACAACCTCTCCGACATCTGAGTATTTGAGTGCTAACAGTGCTTTGGTGGGGTAGAGCCTCTAGATCCACCAAGGTAATGGATGTTCAAAATGGTTGGTTCACCCAAGCTTAAGTCACGCGCGTTGCGCGGTTGTCTTTCCTGCAGTTGTTTAAATTCAGTTCATGATGACCATGCGTGTCACATTTCAGGAGGATGTCAATCAGAACCGACATTCCTTTCAGTGTTGAAGGACATCAGCAACCTCACAAGGGGCGCGCCAACCAAGACATATGATGGTAACATTTGAAGTGTATAAGCAGTTTGGTTACGGCCGAGATAGCGTGACCCGCGGTACACCTCGAGCGGCAAAACGCCATGTCGCACCTACGCGAACATTTGGACCGATACTGCCACGGCAGGCGCGCTAGATCACGTTCGCGAAGTCAGACGAGAGACAACGCAGATGCGGAGCCGGTGGCGGCTACTGCCCCCATGTCGCCATCTGTCACGTTTACTGTGGAACTTCTGCCTTTGTTACCTTTAGTGCCACGAGCCTATCTGTGGGGACCTGATGAACGCTGCCTGACATGCAGCTATCCGTCCCACCTGTTAGCTGCTTACTGCGTCGACGACCTGAAGCAAAAGATCGTAGAACAGGTTCAAACGAACGGTGGCAATACCATAGCAAGACGAACATTTCAGGTGTGGACGTCATGCGGACTGCTGCATTCGCACACGCCTGCTTGTCGAGAGCACATTCCATTCAAGCGAAGCTTGCGAACGCTTTGGGTTGGCAGCGGTCGACCGCCTGTGTTGCCTCTGGTCGTGGAAGTCTCCTCTTCTGGCTGGACGGACATCAATACCTTTGTCACCGCAATAGCCACATGACAACAGCTGTGTGACGTTCTGGGCTGCAACATTGCGATGAATACGCAACATGTTCTGCAAGGGTTGTACGTCGTTATGGACTGCATCTCTGCAAGACATCCAGCCAACTATTCTCTGCTGACGGTGTGACGGTGCGCAGAGCTTCCAGGGGAGTCCCGACATCTGCGCACGAAAAAAAAAATGGAGAGTGTTGCAAGGTGTCAAACCATGCAGTTTCAAAACGTCAAACGCGATGGTCGCAGCCGACCCTGAGCACGGGGAAGAGTTGAATTACGTCCATGGTTACAGCAGTCCTTTGTTATCATCCGCATCATTTCCCAAGCTGCTTGGTTTTGGTTGATTGCTGATACGGATCTCTTCCAGTGTTTTGCGTTTCGAACTAGTTTCTCAGATAGACTCATGCACAACTCTCACAGCGGATTGATGTGTGATTAGCTATCATGTCGTTGCAATCGTTCTTGTCTGCATATCCGTTGCCTTTTCTCAACTGCACCTCTGATTACACACCAAAATAAAAGTCATGCTTTGTGTTTGTAACGATATACAATGATGATATCACCACAGTTTCAAGAACCGATCAACGAAAACACAACAGTCGACTTTAACTCTGAATCGCCATCTGACGTGCGACGTTACGGTTCGCGTTGGGGTGGTGTTTGGTAGCCATGCTGTATGTAGATCGTAGACATATAGATCATGGTCTAAACTGTATGTTTGCATGCAATATCACGACGGGCTAGATCTGTGGACACAACCAGTGCATGTTAAGTACTTCGCTGCTTGACATTCGTGCGTCGTTGTGGGCCGCGATGTCTGGTGGCAAGCGCGCCATGGTCGTGTCGCCCCTGGAGTTGAGTCAAGCCGGGCGAATGAATGCGACGAGTCGCCTGTTGGGACGAGTCGTCGGGATTGAGGTCACTGATCTGCTGTTTTCCTGTTACATTCTGTGTGGTCCGACGCGTAAGCACTTGGTTCAGGTTGAAGCTTGGCGGGAGTTGCTGGTTCCGGCAACAAAACTCTTCGAAGAAGGTAAGCTGGTGTCGATCACGAAGGCTACGCTCGCAGTCCGCCGCAGCGACAAGAATAAATTCACCTTGTCTGGGTGCCGCTGGATGATTCGGTTCGACAAACTTATGGAAGTGCAATCTGCAGATTGCGACAAGGCGGAACCAGTGCCGGATTGGCCAGGCAAAACGGCGACGGACATCCCACACCGGCCTCCAAGCTCGACCTTGGAAATGACCGCTTGTCTGCCAGAGTGCGCAGTGACAGTCGTGGCACGCGTGGTAGAGATCCGTCAGAAGGAAAATAAAGAGCAACCCGACAAGAGCTTCGTGAAAGCCGTTCTACAGGACTGCAACGAGAATGGTGAGGTGTATCAGGCGGACTTAATGGCTTGGCAACCTGAGTTTCGGGAAACCATGCGGATCGCTCTACAGCCGGATGGCGTATACGAAATCTCGCCGGTACTTGTCTCGTCGGAGCAACAAAGCTTTTCTTTAAAATGGATTAAAAAAACGACGGCCAGAAGCTTGCACGGCACTGCTGAAGCACGAATGCTGGAAAATCAAAAGAGTACTGCAGCTCGTGCCATACAAAACTTGTCGGAACAGAAAAAAACGGGCGTGGGCCGCCCCGACCCTAGTACGCGGTCGGCAAAACTGGTGGCCGCCAGCACTCTGGCAGAGTTCATCCCAGAAAAAGGCCTCCTGAAGACGACTCCAGACGACGTGTGGGAATTACCGTGCTCGATGATCCTAGACATTACCGCTTCTGGGGGGGATCTCTGGACGTATGTGGGCTGCTCTGTTTGTCACAAGCGAGATGCTGCCTGCAGCCATGGAGGGGCAACCCGCCCTTGCTACAGTGGACTTTTGCACGTCAGTGATCACACAGCTACGGTGGAAGTCAAGTTCTGGACGGACCAAATAGATCAACTTATGCAAGCCTCTGGATGGCAAGAACCGATCACGGACATGGACGCGGCTGACCGCTTCGTGGCTGTGCTGCGAACAAAGTATTGGATGACCAGATGCACCATTGTTGAAAAACCTGCATTTCAGAGTCGAGCAGCGAGAAATCGATTGCAACTGGTTCATGTCGAAGAAAGAAAGTCTGATTTTGTGGGCACAAGTAAACCTTTGTTTTCCTTACGGAGTCCAAACAGTCGACCGGGCGTGCCTGCCATTCTTTTCCGAGAGGTGCAAGTCGACGCGGCCGGACAAGTCCTCGGGCAAGACGGTCGGGAACTGCATTTCGCTGAATTTCTGGTGCAGCTCCGCGGCGAGCCCATGCAGGACGGTAAAGATACCGACAAAGGTGTTCGCATTTCCTTCCACTGTGAAGACATCGGCGACTTGCAAAGCACGCACTCGGAACTTTTTTGGGTGCTGAGCATGCAAGACATGCTCAAGGTAGCTCGTTTGCAGAGCGATTCACTACTACGGGTCGTTGCTCAACCACAGACGCAAGGCAGACAAGTCGCTCGTTGGCAAGTTTTCCTTTTCGCAGCCATCTCGAAACATGATATCGATGCATGGCGACAACGGAAAGCATGGCAAAGAAACAGCCCAGGGGACGAAAAGAAGAAGCGGGCAGCCGAGCAGATAGCGCTTGCGACGCCCAATAGCAAATTGACAAAGGTGGGAAAGGAACTCACATCCCCTGGGTATGATGTGTCGCCTATTCGTGGCCGCAAGTGATGCTGGATTCGCTAGCTGCGTGCGTCGTTGTGGACTGCGTAGCTGGTAAAATCAACATCCTCTGGGCATGATGTTTCGCCTCTTCGTGCCCGCAAGCGATGCTGGATTCGCTAGCTGCGTGCGTCGTTGTGGACTGCGTAGCTGATAAAATCAGGACGATGCGCTGATGTGACTGGTAAAACAAAGCCGTTCGGTGTCAACCCATAGGGGAAGCTCTTGCCTTGAGAATTTGTTTGTGTGTGTTTCATTCGAGTGTCTATCGCTCATGTCCACGGTGTGCTGGTCGATCGACTCGGTAGGTGACTGTTGGGTAGGTGTCATGGGTAGGTGCCATGGGTGGCTTATTACATGTCCCTCAAAAAAAATATCTTTGCACAGACTTGCGTTTGAGACATGGTGTGTCACGACATGTTGACTGTCTACACGCTGACGGCGCAGGATCAAGATTAACGATGTTTCATAGGACTTCACAACAAACAGATGTGTCCGTAAGACTTCACAAATAAACAGATGTGTCAGCTGTGTTTCTGCGCATACATGTGGATTGACATTACAGCTACGTAACGCGGTCACAACGGACAGCACAGTTACTATGTCGTACATGCAAGACGTACCAACTAACGCTCAGTGCTTATTGTCGAAGTACGTCGTTACGGACTGCTTGTACCTTTGCCATGGCGCTCGCCGCATACGACTGGCTGGTGTGGAAGGATAGAGCTGCAAGCTTTCTGCGGGCTCACCCTCGGGAAGTTGCGCTGCAACTCACTTGGGGTCAGCGACTGGTGGTTCCGGGAGCTCGTGAGGCATACGCAGTCGCAACCTATGAACGAGAGGCCATGGGTCGTAGCCTCGGCGCGGCGCCATGCAACTTGTGTGGGTGCTGGACACATAGCTGGTGTGAAGCTTGCAAAACACGTCCGCCCACTGCAATTTGTTCGACTTGCGACGCGGCCAAACTCTTGTGTCAGTCTTGCACGTCGTGTCACCAGCTGGTTTACTCCGAGGCTTCACAGAAACCCAACTAGCAACTTCCTGGCCTCCCGGAACTGGACGTGCGAAGTTGTGTTCCGCGTCCAGCATGGTCGAGGCGGCGCTGGAGAGTCACACGAGCACGGCGGCAAGTGTGCAGCCACCTGTGGTGAATGACTAGAGCGCCAAAAGTTCGGATTGGGGCCATTGGAGAAAGCCGAAGTCTCTGGTACGCTTTGCGTTGCCACAAAACCAAAGCTCAGTGCGCAGAATGGCTAAACCGAGGACATCGCAGATTAAACCGACAAAAAATGAATGCGGCGGGAAGGATGTAAGGGAGGACGCAGACGATAGGATAGGCAGGCATCGCTGACGCAGGTTTCGAATCATTTGTGTTTTGGGTGGTTGGTTCAAATCGTAATTCCATCGTTCGTGCGGTTGTATGTTGATAACGTCCATAAAATGACCACCGTGACTTTGATTAGTGTGACCATACCTGATGTGACTGTTGCAGATATCAAACGATTCTGACCATGACTACTGTGACCTTAGATACTATGACAAAGACTACTTTGACAATGACCGTTGTGGCTGTAACTGTAGTGACAATGAGTATTGTAACTGTTTGGACTGGCCCCTTTTTAGGTAATGACAGTGGGAAGTAGAAGTGACGGCATTAGTGTCCCTGGTTGTGGCTTCAGTAGTAATGTTAGACGTCGGTCGGTTATGGCTCACAGAAACAGACATGATGTTTGTTGCCTACGCATGTGTTATGGGTAACAGAAACAGACATGATGTGTTTTTGGTACATATGCATTCGAGAAATGCCATTGCTAACACATGTTTCTGCTTCAAGTAATTGAGAAAGAATTGTTTTGGACATGTGAGCAACTTGTGGTTCCACTGTTCGTTCGGTGTTTTGGCCCGCGGACATGATTATTGTCTTAGATCATAAGGATGTGAATCTCACCATTATTCTTGTTTTAGAGCAGCAACTCGTAGTCTTCTCACAGGCCTTGCATGCGGGTATGCAGTTAGGTGCTGCCTGTGTGACACATGTTGTCTGTGAGGACAGGGTCGCACATGCCACTCTTGCAGAAGCCCAACGTGGTTTAAGTGATTAATTACCATTGTCCGATCCCTGTAGTTCACCACTACAACCACGTGGCCTCTCACAAGACACGCACGCGGGTATGCAGTTATGTGCTGCCTGTGTCGCACATGTTATCTTTGAGGATGGGACGCAGACGCCACGGTTGCACAAGCCAAGCGTAGTTTAAGTAATAAATTCCCATAGTCCGATCCCTGTAATTCACCACTATAACCACTTGACTTTGCACAGGCATTGGATGGCCATGTGTTGTGCATGACGTGCTGGTCGCTGATGGGTCAAGGACACCATCAGCGATTGGGATCGACTCTCGCTTGACTGCCAAGGGCTGGGTGTGCGTTGTTATGAACCGCATCCGAGTTTGAATTGCTGTCCTTCAGTAGATTCGCCTTTCATTTAGCCTTGCGAACCGCAGAATGCCTCTGTCACTTGCTTTTGGTTTATGTGTGCGTTGTTACGAACCGCACAAACAACCATGATCGTATTGCATACATGTGAAAAAACAAAGCTGTCATGGGAGCGAGTCAATGCAAGCTCTCACTGAGATCCTCTCAATGCCTTGTGCAGCATGGGTTGGAGTTTTGTGGTTTGTTGAATGTATGACTTTCTGGGCCATTTTTTTTCAGACATCAGACCCAAAGCCCTATGATTTTCTCCATTTTGGCGCTAGTTTTTTTGGTTGCACGTAAGTTTAGAGCAGTTGGACGTGTGGGGCGTGAAGTGTGGAGTGTGAAGTTTAAGTGTGGAGTGCGAAGAGCGCAGTGTGAAGTGTGAAGTGTGAAGTGTGAGGTTTGGAGTGTGAAGGAAGCAGTGAGAAGTGTGAAGTGTGGACTGTGAAGTGTGAAGTGTGAGTGAAGTGTGGAGTGTGAAGTGCGAAGTGAGAAGTGTGAAGTGTGAAGTTTGGAGTGCGAAGTTTGGAGTGGAAAGGAAGCAGTGAGAAGTGAGAAGTGTGAAGTGTGGACTGTGAAGTGTGGAGTGTGAAGTGCGAAGTGAGAAGTGTGAAGTTAGGAGTGTGAAGGAAGCAGTGAGGAGTGTGAAGTGCGAAGTGAGAAGTGTGAAGTGTGAAGTTTGGAGTGTGAAGTGTGGAGTGTGAAGTGCGAAGTGAGAAGTGTGAAGTGTGAAGTTTGGCGTGTGAAGGAAGCAGTGAGAAGTGAGAAGTGTGAACTGTGGAGTGTGAAGTGTGAAGTGTGAAGTGCGAAGTGAGAAGTGTGGACTGTGAAGTGTGAAGTGTGGACTGTGAAGTGTGAAGTGTGAAGTGTGGACTGTGAAGTGTGAAGTGTGCAGTGTGAAGTGTGAAGTGTGAAGTGTGAGGTTTGGAGTGTGAAGGAAGCAGTGAGAAGTGAAAGTGTGGAGTGTGAAGTGTGGAGTGTGAAGTTTGAAGTTTGAAGTGCGAAGAGTGCAGTGTGCAGTGTGAGGTGTGGAGTGTCGAGGGAAGGACACGGTCGGGACAGGTTGTCTTTGAACTATAGGTCATTTATGTTTGGGAAACTTCCGCCGCCGGCTTGCCCGGGTCTATGTTACTTATCATTAGTATGACTACGATGATTGTGATTCTGACAATGATGCAACCCCGTGGTGCCCCATTGGGTCAAGAAGATGGGTGCGTCTGATGCTGGAGTACACCCGTAGGATTGCCATTTCACTGGAATGATGATACCCTCTGGTAATTTAACATAGCTATTGAAAATGACCATTTATAGTGGATTTTCCCATTGAAAATGGTGATTTTCCATAGCTATGTTAGTTTACCAGAGGGTAAAACATGGGATTTGGGGTTCCCCCATGATTTTTGGTCAAGCCTCTAAAAGCCATGCGATTTGCACACAAAATGTTTGGCCAAGTTTTTTTTCTGAAGAAAACCCTCTCACAAGAGCAAAAACGGCTGGTGAACACTAATTTCAACAACAAACTCTTACTATACAAAAAGGGATCGACATTAGGTGTCCAACACATGGTGAATGTTTATTGTTTGATGCCTTCATTTTTGACTGATATCCACGTGAGGAATACCGTGAAGAATGAAATTTTGGGATTATTTGTATCTGAAAATAGGGTACCTCAAATCTCAAGGTTGATCATATTTTTTCCGATTAATATGGCAATGCTGCCTTTTCCCTATTTCAAGACTCTGGACAAACCAATTTGAGAAAACACCTGCTATATCCTGCTATCTCATTGCAGTCCCTGGAATTCCTGGGATTCGGCTTTAGTCCTTGGCCCTGTCTGGCTGCGAAACTAGCACACTTCGGTGCCCTAATTTGAACCAGAGTCCTTCCCAGGAAGGTCAGAGTTCAGAATGTCTCAAGTGGCGCAGAGACTCTTCGACTCTTCGATGGTGTCGCAGAGGGATCCATGGATCACCAAGATCCCTCCATAAATTTCCACTTTCCCATAGCACACTCCGCGAAAAAACATCAAACTGTTGCCTCCTGTTGATCACCCTTGCTGTGACAACCAGTGGTTGTAACATCATGAGAGTCGTATACTGGTGCGAAAAAATGACGCAGGGAATTTTCGGGAATCATCCCAGTCACTCCCCTTTTGTCCCCAGCAAGCCCCAGCAAGCCATCCATTCCCTGCGTCCGCACCAGTAAGGAGTTGACGCGGATAGTGATCCCATGATCCCATAAATTGGAGGTACCTACCATATATAAGGCCTATTTTTCAGGCCTATGTAAGGGAATATCTTCCAAAAAAAAAATGGCCAGAAATATGGTACAGTACCTCCAATGAATCGGATCCTGGAGTTCCCATTGATAAGTACTTGAATACTGTGTAGGAATAACATGGAATAACTACCTTGTTCTTTGATTCAAAGAGGCCACATTGAAGGTGGAGAGGGAGGGGGGCTATTCAAACCATGACAGCTTCACGGCGACAATCACGGATTCATCACCTATCACCTCTGATTCTTGGGCACCCAAATCATGAGAATCTGCTACGAAAAAGTTGTGTTTGATCCAATGAAATAGCCCAGGGCTTTTGTTTTGGTGTATGCATCTAAGCCCTAGCACCAAAATGACAGGTTTCCACGTCTAGGATCCTTTCCGAACAGCACCAAAGTCCATGTCCTAATACTATTAGGATCGTCCATGTAAAATAATGCCATCCATTCTTCCATTGAGAGAAAAATGCAAATCCCAGATCTTTTTTGGAAGTCCTGAAGAAAACCGCAAATCAGTCCGCTCGTTTTGGGTCCAGAGAAGATCGAAGAAGGAAAAACCTACACCGAGGGAACCTTTCTCTGTTCTATGGATACATTAGGTGTACAGTTGCTTACTCAAAAATATTGGATGTATCGATGTCTCTATGAATATATACATATACATATACATATGTAAATCATATGTATATATATATGTGTGTATACATAACTATATACACGTACATAATCTATATATACAGGTATGTATGCATTTTTGTGTCTGTATTCTGCGTAGACATGACCACAGGCCGTGGCTCTTTGCACGTCTCCAACACCGCTTGGGCCATGGTGAGATCTTTGCTCCGTGCAGACCGTGCAGGCGCTGTCTGATGGGCGCCATGAACCATTGAAATCCCTGAGATGGTGTCTACAAACGGGTACCCAGAAATCACCATGTCAATGGGAAAAAGGAAAAAACATTGCAAAATTTACCCATCGAAATTTGGGTTCTATTTCGGTGATTTTGTTTTTACAAAGGCCTATGAAAGTCACGAATCACCCCAAATAGGACAGGTTTGCAACATATGATCCCTCTATATCAACCGTTGCCATTGGTCTCCCCACTTCTTGGTTGATATGGCATTGAGTTTCATCCAACTGTCCATTCCTGGCATGGAATCTCAATCTCCACGGACCATACCTGAAGTATTTGGCTTTGGGGTTTCACTAGCTACATCTCAATCGAGTAGATCTCAATCAGCAGTTCAATTTGAATGGTAAATAATCCCTTCCCCCTATTAATAACCCCCCCAAATAATAAAAACTAGGGTCCGTCTCCAATTTTAGAAAATTTGAGGTTGGCCAATTTGACTTTTAAATTGATCCCCTTTAGAAAACAATTTGAAATGAAGCTACCATTTGTGGGTTTCACACCCGAATAATAAAAACTAGTCAACCCCGGGGTGTTCTTTTATTAGGGTCCATCTTTTAAGGTCGAAAAAAGAAGTATTTTATATTAATGTGTTTGATTTCATATTAGGGAGAAGCATCGAAATCCAATTTTCGGCCATATCTTAATTGGATTTTAAAAGGAAATCTAATCGATTTTGAAATAGAAAAAATAGTTTCTTTATATTAGGGTGTTTAATTTATATAATGTTCGGGGAAAGCTTCGAAAACCAATTTTTGGCAATCTTTTAATTAGAGTTTAAAAGGAAATCTAATCGATTTTGAAACAGAACAAAATAGTTTTTTATATTAGGGTTTTTTATTTAGTATTAGGGGGGAAGCTTTGCACCCTAAGAATAAATACATCCTAATAATAAAAACTACCTGATGTGTTTATTATTTGGGGGAGTCAGTATTAGGGGGAACGGATCATAGCATTGAATCTATTTAATCCATTGAATCTATGAATACAAGTATTGAATCAATGGCAAATTCTAGATTTCCGTTTGCCATTCTATAATCCCATCCACCTAGTATTAATTCCTCCATATGGGCCGGTACTAAACCAGGGTTTCTAGGAAGGTATTCATGTAAAGAAGGGGGTATGAATCATTACGAAGAGTTGGTTATACATCTATATATATATATGATTATATATGTATGGGTGAATTATAATAATTCACAAACCTGAAATGTTGGGCCATCTTGGGGATGATTCCCCTACACATTCACCATGAACATAGCGAGGTCGCAGTGAGGTCGTTTTACTTTACCCAGATATACATATATCATATATATATATGGCTGAATTATGCATGCGAATTCATTGGTCTGAAAGCAGGCCACACACTGGGGATTTATTTCCCTAGTCCTAACCATCATTCCCTTGTGATTTCGTTCGTAATATCCCATTACATCCCCCTTAATATCCCGTTCAATCTCCATTCTCTACGGTTATATGTCCCATAGGATATCTCCATAATAATCCATGACAATCTGGCTATATAGTTGGTTCTAGTTGCTTATAGGTGCTTATACGCTATCCCATGGTCACATCCGATATACTATATTTCATATCCAGTTTTCTTCGCTAAATCCCCCATTTTCAGGCCCACATATGTGCAGCCTTCTCTTTGTTGCTGTGAAATATTCACTAAGATGCTTACATATCCCATTCTATGCCCATTATAGTAACCCCCAAACAGATAGAAAAGTCTTTCCAGGATGGTATTTCGATGATGTTTCCCTCTAATTTTCAGGTTTCCAGCCTTTCTATTTGGTGGGTACCATATCGTAGTATATATTCTGTAAGGTTTATATCCAAGGATTCAAATGATTATGGAAAAAGCATCCATAGTTGATGAGGTTTATAAACCAACATAAGTGGGGAGCACACTGTGTACCTGGGTAAATTAAGATTTCATAGTTCACTAAGCTGAAATAAAGCTGTTTTGGGCTAGTTACCCCTTACGAACCATCATTCCAGTGAGGTCGCAATGAGGTCATTGTAATTTACCCATGCATATATACATATATACATATATACATATATACATATATACATATATACATCTATACATATATATATATACATATATACATATATACATATATACATATATACATATATACGTATATACATCTATACATATATATATATACATATATACATATATACATATATACATATATACATATATACATATATACATATATATATATGTATATATATACATATATACATATATATATACATATATACATATATACATATATATATATATATACATATATACATATATACATATATATATATACCATCCTATCTCATCATTCCCCGTATAGTTTCATGATTTCCCAGCTATAAACCTCCATTTACAATCATTTATGTATAGGCGATCTACAAGGGGAATTCCTATATTTATATTGATGGTGCTTATCCATATATTATCCCATGATATCTCCATGATACTGTGGATGGAAGAAATCCTGCACCGCCTTAGATGGTTGAAACATGTTGTAAACCCTAAAAATAAAGGGATGTTTAACACCTATCAACTGGCGCAGGATTTCTTCCAAACGCAGTATTATCCAATGGTATCCTTTATATGTACATATAAATATATCCCATATATATATCAATATCAATAGCAATATATATATATATGTATGTATGTGTATATATATATAATTACATATATATATGGTGGGTTCCTAAAATAGGGGTACCCCCAAATCATCACTGTTGGTACGATTTTCCCTCATAAACCATCCAGCTATTGGGGTACCCCCCATGTATGGAAACCCCTATATATATATAATGGGGATCTGCAAAATGTTTGGTTTATAATGGAAAATCTTACTAAAATTGATGAAATGGTTGGTTTATAACGGAAAATCTTACTAAAATAAATGGATGATTTAGCGGTATCACCATTTATGAGAACCCCCCCCATATGTATAATTGGGATCCCCAAAATTGTCAGTTTATAATGAAAAATCCGACTAAAATGGATGATTTAGGGGTACCCGCATTTGTGGAAACCTCCATATATCCCTTCAAAATGTCCGTTTTTTCTATCCCTAAAGTCTTCAGATTCCGCCTGCACACCGAACCACCGAACCGCGAAACGGGACATCTCCACCTTGGGAGCTCCGATGCGGCTCTCAGGTGGCCTTGGCGTGCAACGCCAAACGACAAATCCTGGCGGAGGGAGCCAAAAGCCATGGCGTTTCACCCGCAAAAATTGTGATTTAACTAGCAGAAATGGGATTTCATGAGGATAGATGTCGATTTCACCAGAAAATGTTGTGATTTCACCAACAGATATAGATGATTTAACCAACATTTCTCTTTTGAATCTAGGAAAACATGATTAAGAAGCGTGGCTACAACCCTATTATAGATGGGATAAGCCAAGCTAGCAGGCCTGCTTAGGAGGGTTTATGATCAGCCGCTAACAAGCTGGGATGATCGGTGTTCTGACTACACGCTAAGGAGTCGAGTTGGTTTAACAACAAACAATCCTAGCCAACTCCAGTTATAGTTATATAGTATAGAGTACCATGGAGTAAGCTTGGAATTGAGGCGGGTTATAAAGCCAGGAAGCAGTAAGGGTCCATCATTGAAGCTTTGCTACTGGTGGTTGAGCCACGCCCAGCAAAGCTCTGTGAACTGGGGAATCACCTTGCCAAGAATGATAGGAAAAAAAACTGTCGAAATAGAATGTAACTGGTTGGTGGTCTTAACCCCTCTGAAGAATGTGAGTATCATCATCCCCGACTGACGAGATCTAATGAGAGAAAATCGGGGGGTAGGGAAACCATGTCGGTTTCCAGCAACATGGCGATGTAGATTCTGTAGATTTCGCTATCAGCACACTGCGTTTGCGCAAAACTTGCGAGATGGATTTCCCATATTCCGAAATTATGTTGAAAGGTTTTCTACTTAACCATAGTTCATCGCCTCCCATAGGGTTTCCACATCTCCAATAACTATCCTTTTGCTCTGGTTATCTTTAAAATCCTGCAAACAGATCATGAATCCCAATCCCTGCTGACTGTAAAGACCCAAGACAACCCTCAGATGTGATGGGCGATTTCAGGCCAATCCAAATCAACGCAGGTGGTATCCCCAACAGCAAATTAGGCAACTGCAACCCTGGCAAGGGGCACGACTTGATTTTGAAACAATGCAATGTGTCTATGTGTGTGTGTGCGCCGCGCAGAAAAGATGGAGCACACCTCAAATGCGTTGAAGTTGCAGTAAAACAAAGTCATTTGCGGAACCTCCCAGAACCCCGGAACCCGCACTGGAAGCGGGTTCCGAATGCGCCTCGCAGCGGTTTTGCTCAATCCGATCCACTGCTCCATGGAGATTTGAAGACCAGCCGACACCTACCAAGGAGATTTCTGGTGGAAGATTGAGGGATGAACCGTCAGATGTGCCATATATCTGCGAAAAACAACGTGGTTTTAAGGGACATTATGGGTTATTATCGAAGGAAATCTAGAAGTCAAACTTCCGACAATATGGACAGATGAAAAAGCCGAAGAGAAGAGAAGAAAGAAGATCAGAGAAGAGAAAGAGTCAAGTCAGAAGACAGAAGATGCAGTTGCGCGAAAAGGTAGCAACGTCGCGAAACACTGTGTTTTTCCACTGATTTGTGGCTTCGGAAGGTCGAAAAGTAGGCTAGCTAAAGCGGCGGATGCGGAGCCATCAGGGAGATGAAACATGAAAAATTGCACGCCGTGTGGCGTGAAGCACATTTCCAAGTCAAAATGTACAAAGCACACCATGTTCGCTGTTGTGGCGCGAAGCACATTTCCAAGTCAAAATGTACAAAACACACCATGTTCGGACCACTTTTGGAAGTTGTGATGTCGAAAAAGTGCACGCTGTTGTGGCGCGAAGCACATTTCCAAGTCAAAATGCACAAAACACACCACGTTCGGACCACTTTTGGAAGTTGAGATGTCGAAAAAGTGCACGCCGTTGTGGCGCGAAGCACATTTCCAAGATGTGGTTTTGCGTGGCAGGCGTGAGGGATTCACTTGGCAAAGTGAGCAAAGTGGGGATTTTGTGGCATTTCCAAAAACGATGGCAAGCGATTTGCAGCGGATCTGCAAAGATGCATTTTCCGTGGCAGGCGCAGTACAAAAGACATGTTCATGAGAGAGGTTGGGAGGTCAGGGCGCTGATTTCCTGAGAGGGGTTACATTTTGGAGTATCAGAAGTGTAGGCTTGCTAAGATGATTTTGCGTGACAGGTGCAGCACTTCGTATGACCTGGCATCAATTTTTCGTGGCAGGCGCAATACTTTAGAGACATAGACCGGAAAAAACGCAAAACGCACTGGCACGAGGCCGTCAGCTCTGCACTCAACTTTCCATTTTTGAAGGAAGTCCCGCAGAATTGCTTCGTTTTTGCTGTTGTCAACCTCCAATATTGAGTCTGGAAGAATTGCTTCGTTTTTGACGTTGCCACGTTCAAAACTTGACGAAGTCTCGCAGAATTGCTTTGTTTTTGACGTTGCCGCGTTCAAACCTTGAGGAAGTCTCGCAGAATTCCTGCGTTTTGAACTACAACTCCACCACGCTACACTACACTACAACTACAACTGCGCTACACCACACTACATCCAGCAGTTGTGGTGAGGTGACCACTGCAACCACTGCGAAAAAATAACTCCAACCACCTTTCGGTCCATCAGTGGATTCGCTCTGCCATCCGTGATTCACAACAACCAACCTCTCCTATAGGTTTCCTATTTTTGAAACTTCCGCCACCGCCTTGTGCGGTACTACTGGTAGAGAAACAGATAGATATATATATATATAAATAGCCAACTTAATATGACTTGGGTGTAACCAAACATGGGTTACACCACCATGTGATGGCCACTGAATGATTGGGAAAATGAAATTTCAAATGGATAAAATGTGGAGTATCCTTTTCTCAGACCCAAAACGGAAAATCATGGAAGCCAAGGATGACCCTTCAAGGTAACCCCACAACAATGGGGATTTAGGACACCCTTTCCGTCAAGGAGTTGGTTCATAACCCCTTCATAGCGACGCGCCCTAAATGGTTTGGGGTGACCTTTCGTGTAATCAGGGTCAGGGTCAATGTGCAAATGTTACAATCTCCCCCCACAGCCCCGACATAAATGGTCCACCATCCTCTACTAAACGGTTTATGGAGGTGTTCATATTAGGGTGGGATGTATCTACCCAGCATCATTCAAATAATAGGGAACGTTTGGCTCTGAAGACTATTGGTTGGTGCTTGCCCACCTGTAAAGTACTCAATTGGGATCATTATCAGTATCGATTTCTTTGCGGGAAGAACAATTGTTGTCACCAGGCAGAATACATCCACCCAATTTGAGCATGGAACCTCAACTTCATAGCTGGTTTGATGACCGTTTTATTTGTCCCAAAATGTTCCAAAAGCAACCAATTAGATTCCAATCTAAAGTAATCTGCCTGGTTGGATTCCAAAATCTCAAGTTCCAGACAGTGAAATTCCAAAATCAAGTTGGAAGATCCAAACCTAAAATCGATGTCTCTAAAATCTTTTAAACAAAAAAAAACGTTCCAGCTGGACATCATTTTTCTGCTGCAGAAACGAGCGAAACGAGCAGAGCAGACCGCTCGAGCAGAGCAGAGCGCTCCACGGCCCTCTTGGAGTCACCGAGTCACCCCGCGGCACAATGGCGATGCCCGATGCGACACGTCCAGGGGGAAAAGTTTCGAGAATTTCTTCGAAAAAACTAGAGTTGGAGTTCATTGGAGCCAGAAAATGATGTGGCTATCAAAGGTGCTCTCTGGAAATGAAACGATATATCACCTGATTTAACCAACAAACATGTGCGTAGAAAACGAAGCAGTCTAGGGGATCATCCATGGTATGTGTTACCAACAGTATTTTTTTGCTGTTTGTCTGCGCAAACCTCCCTTAAAATTGAACGGAATAGGGTTAGTTATAGCCGGAAAAAAGCCCATTTTGGATCTCAAAAAATGGTCCACATCCTTGTAAAAAAACTTTCACAAACATCATGGGACCCATGAAAAACCCGGGTAAAAACTCCGGGACAAGCTTACTGAGTTCGAAAGAGTCTGGATTCAGATCCAGACAGTTTTAAGTGGATTGATGTCTTGTAAGTCAACTCTGCAGGCATTATGATTCTCATTTTTCTACGTTTTGGTTGCCCACAATTTCCAGTCAGACTTCAGCATCGACCATTGTGCAAATGGTTTTCTACCATCTCAGGTTGCAGGTGTGAGCCCAGTGGGAGCCCAGCGGGATTCGCAGCTGTTCTCAATTAAAACGATTGAGAACAGCATTGCGATAATGGGTCAGAGTTACAAAGCCGGTAAATCTCAAGTGTACAATCTCCTGTCACAAACAATCAATGGTATCATATAATCAAACAATTGATAAGGTTTTGGGCCCATTTGAGCAATGATGGATCTGTAGCTGCGAGCCCGCCAGGCGCATGGCCGCGGGAACTGAGTGTTACAGAGACTGGTCAGCAGATTGGGCGAGAAAGCTGGTTCAAATGCATCCCAACAAGGGATGCTGACAACTTGATAGCTATGTATAGTTAATACCCTCTGGTAATGACAAACATAGCTATGGAACATGGGCCACGATTTGTGAGAAATTTATGATAATTTTACCTACTAAACAATGGGGTGATTTTCCATGGCTTTGTTAAATAACCAAAGGGTAACTTTTGGCTTTTGACTTGTAACTTATTGTTGTATTTACGCCTTTACGCCCCAAGAAAGCTGGCGAAAGCCCCCTCATTTTCAGCAAATGATTGTCCTGCTATACATGTCGTCCAGATGGGCCTTCCGATCCCAAGGCCGATCCGGATTCTAGTCTGGCTTCGTCTGTAATGCTGCCCTCTGGCAATCAAACATGGCAGTTTCAAAATTGATTACCATGTTCAGTTAAAACTCATCTCACATTCATGGGGCATCTTTCATCAAGCCAAGTGAGATTTCAGGCAAATAGGTAATGATGAAACAAACAATCCCAGGAAGCGGATTTAGCCGAAACAGAACAGAAGCAAACTCCACGGTCGCCCACCCCTCATATAGCATAAGCTTCAACTTCCTTGTTGGGTCTTACAGGGATGCCATCTGATCAAGAGGTTGATTGTTTAGAGTTTGGAGTGTTCACAGGGGCTTCTGAAACGAGAGTTCCCCATTTAAGTGCGGCTCAAAACTTATCGCATAGCCGTAAAGAAATTTAGTGCTGTAAGTGCTGTGTTTTTTTGCGCCAAAACCATTTGAGGATGTCTTACGCGACACTCAGAGATCCAGGATATGATCCAACAAACTGTCTATTTCAGGAGTGTCAGTACTTTTCTCAACAGTTGTATGACACAAGTTTTAGATCTGGAAAGCACAAATCTACCAACTTCTCGCAAACGATGGAACCTTTGGTTCTTGCCTGACGCATGTCTTTGGAATGCAGCAGATGGTCAATTATGGTCAATCTATCGAGTGTTCTGGTCGCACTGGTCGGGCCTTGGGGTTGATCAAAACAGGTTGACACAAAGGTACCCGGATTCCAACGCATGGAGGTTATGGGTGATGAAAGTCCAAGATCCCATGGTTCTTCAAATGTCGACCCCAAAAAAATGATCACAAAATCCATGGTATAAAACCTTTGTAGTAGTCGTTGCATGTCGTTGCATGTTGATCAATTTGCGCAGCCCTATTAAGTTAGACTAGCTTCAAAAATATCCATTCTTATCGTAATTTCTGATCTTCATTCTTCATATACCTTTGTAAGGTTTTCCTGGAATTACCAAATAATGATCAAATGGCCGTGTTTTATTTCCTGTTGACTGTCCATGTTGAGTACCGGGGTACCCACTCAAAAATCACCTGGCATCCACCTTGGGGCCCCCGAAAAAAACCTTGGTGGTAGTTTTCTGATCGATGGGAAAGGAACATAAAGGAGAGCAATGACCCAGCATAATCCAAATATGGCTTTGTCTAGGGACCAACAAAAATCCAATGGTCTATCTACAAAAATTGGATTTTATCGGGTTGGTGGTTTCAACCATCTTGAAAAATATTAGTCAATGGGAAGGATTATCCCATATACTATGGAAAATAATCCAGCCATGTTCCAAACCACCAACCAAATGATGATTTAAATGTAGTCCAAAAGATGTTCCCATTATGGTACCATGTAGTACCATGGAAAAGTACCATGGAAAATAACAAATGTTCCAAACCACCGATATCAGTTATCTTCTTTGCCTCGACCCTGCAGGAAAAAACTCCCTTGAGTCACCTGCACTGCGACCTCACGGAAACGATGCGCAAACGCAAACGATGCGGAACGCGGGGGGGATGACGACTCCAAAGTTGCGAAGGGATTCAACAAACATCCGGGTTGTAACACCCAGATATGTGATGAAATTTCTCCAAAAGAACAGAGCAGGATTCACCTTTTCCAACATAATTATCGGACTGAGATGCATCCTGTACATTAAGCTATAAAATGTTATAAACACTCCTCCTATAAGCCCAATATGGGTTCTCCGAATCCGAACACCAACATTTTACGGTGAGGTCGCTACAAGTTACCCAGAGCATCATGGGAAAATCAACAACAACCTGCCGGAAATCAATGGAAGAAGCAAAAGGCATTGAATATCTTGGAACATGCGAAGCCAATCAGTTCAAGCTATTTTATCAGTTGTCTGGATAATTCATCATTCATCCTAAATCGTAATTTTCTTTTCAGTTATAAATTTCATTGAGAAAGCCCATGAAATATGCGCAGTCATCTTGACAGAGGCCCCAACTAAGGTCCCTATAATATCATAATATCTTATAATAATAGTTTAATAGTTTAATCGCTTATTCTAATAGCTTAATAGCTTAGTCGCTTATTCTATGATTCAGTCTCCATTCTCCTTGTTTGAGTTAGCATGAGTGGTTCGAAGCAAAGCTATCAAGCTCTTTGGTGTCTGGTAGGCACGCAGCCCAGCGGCGAAGCTTCGCAGCTTCCCAACGAGGGGGCAGCGATCTTTCACATGTTTTTGACTCAACATGGCCATCTCAAGTCATGATTCTTGCTTTGGAGTGGTTGGAATTCAACAGGTCGTATGGATTCAAAAGCTAGGAAATACCGTAAAATTGGAGGATCAACATTCATAAATACCAGCTATTTTGAATGTTTATCATTTGAGACCTGTGGGCTACTCATAAGCAGAGCTACTCATAGAGCCGTGCCCCAAACATGCCAGAATTCCTACCTAAACATTATTCAAATCACAATCACTCTTAAGAAAAATCAAAAAAAAATGAAATCTTCCACTGCTGTCTCAACCATTTGGGTTTGTCTGAGTCTGAAATTCCAAAACATTCAAAAGACAAACAAAACACTCCAAAAAAAAAAACAGAAAATCCCAAAACATGCCAAAACATTCCAAAAAATCCAGAAACATCCAAAACATTCTTTCAAAAAATACAAAAAAATCCGGCGAAAAAAAAAACAAAACTTAAAATAGAATGAAATGGAATGTTTTGGAATTTTCTTTGATGATGGGCTACAACCCAAAAATCCCTCCCATATATGGAGTATCCCTCTGTATGAGCGCCCCTATCCTCAGAGAAGAGCTTATCATCCATGGCTTTTGACCCATACCCATTTCGGACACTCCGAAATTTCTCGTGGAACATCATGGAACCTGAAAAAACGGAGTAGATCCAGTACATTCTGCCAGATTTCGTTTGGGGTGTAATGTGGTAAGCCCATAAATTACACCTCCCTTAAAAGAGGATGCAATATATACCACCATTTGTGATCGAATTGGGGATGTTTTGTTACATTATATATATATATGACATATTTCATTCTTTCATCAATTGGGGGGAACAGATGATGTACCTTTGTTTCTTGCTGACATGTTTGTCTTGGCCGACCAGCTGGGAAGCGGCAACGGTCTCCGTGGATTTTTTTCGGAGGGCTCCGGGGACACATCTGTCGATGATTCCCCAGAGACTGGACTGCTGGGCGAAAGTCAGAAGTTTTCTGCCACTCTCAGGAGTGCAACATGGTTCCATGATGATGTGAGTGTCCTTGCAGAAAATTACGTGGCGTCCCACAAATATTCAACATCTGCCAATCGTATTTCTCCGATTGGCGGCTTTTCTGGAGGGAAATAGAAAACTATCTTCATGGCGTCCCCAAAAAGATAGTGAAATCAGCCTCAAAATGCCAAACATCCTCTCTCTAGAAATCAGGTTTAAAAACCATGGCATCAAAATGCCAATAAAGTGTCAGTCCCAAGTTTCCGCAGAATTCAACAAATTCTGCCTCGTCGCACCTCCTCTCCGCTCATTGCTCCTCTGCGTCCTTCACCTCTTCAGTCGTGACTTGTCGTTCCATGGGTTCTGCACGTTCTGCGTTCCGTTCTGCCACTGGGCGCACCGCGTTCCGCATCGCGTTCGTTCCGTTTCCACCGAGATTCCGCGGAAAGGCTTCCACCACGAAGTTGGAGCTTAGGCGGCGCACGTTCCGTGGAGGCTCAAGGCCTCAGTGGATCTCAGTGGAGCAGAGTGGAGCAGAGTGGTGACGGGGGAAACGACGTTTTGGGCGTTTGAAAACGCCATGGTCTACCATGGTACTTTGGGGTTCCATGTTCAATCTTTCCAAAGTCTTGGTCAAAGTGGATCTTGTGGATCTTGTGGATGGCCTGAAAATTGGCCAATCCTAGATGGGCCCCATGCAAAAAGTGGAACATAGTTACTTAGTTATGATTTATATATCCCCATCCGCAAAAGATTATATATAAAGTACTAAGGTACCCAGTCAGTGGATGCAGTCATAGAAGCTCAACCCTTTGGCCCTAGACCCCTTTTGGTTGCCCCCCAAAAAATGGGGCTGAACCCTGGGACACTGGTACTGTGGGGATCCGGCTGAGCGTTTTTTTGGGGTTCTCCGATATGAGGCTGGCTGGTTGCGTCCCATAGATCCCAATCTATTCCATATATCAGATTATCAATTATATCCCCACGATTTTGCCCCAGAAACTACTATTTAAAAAAAAAAAAAAACTATGAAAATCGAAGAAGTGTATGGCAATGACATTCATCCAGCTACCCAAAGCCTTGATGGAAATTGCGCTCATTGATTCCATGGCGGACTTGGGAGACATCGTCGCGGTCGCGGATGTGGACATCTCGAGGGACTCGAGGGAAGAGGATGTGAATCGTGGGCAGAGGAGATCGAGCCAGTGGCTGCCAGAAAATCCTTCGAGATTTGGGTGGATCTGAAATTGTTGGGGTACCCCTAGCTATAATCTATTTTAATGGGATATTAAGCTATTTTAATGGGATATTCATCTATTTTACTGGGATATTCCTCTATTTTAATGGGATATTCCTTTATTTTACTGGGATATTCCATTATAAACTATCCAATCTATCCATTGTTGGGGTACCATGACTATGGAACCTGGGGTGAAAATTGAGCACCCCGAAGTCAAAAATGGCCATTGTGTATACCTCATTTTCAGACACTGCCATATAGCAAAAATAGCAACCACCAAAAAGATGGCTTCAATTTATCTCAAATTATATGTCTTAATCTATTTTGGGATGATTTTATTTGTCTATCCTTTTTGGGGGGGTTACTTTACAGGTCCAATAATAATTCTATACCCCAAGAGAAGGCAAGTGTTATGGCAATTGTTATGAGGAAAACGGAATTTTACCTGTGGATTTGGGGGTACCCTTGCTTGGAAGTGCAGTTCCAGTCATGAGTGGATATATTTCAGCATAGTTTTTCCAGGCTATCCCCAACTTAGGGTTTTAAATCCCATGTTTACAGCCATTTTTTCACCCCTGGACTGCCCAAGTATGGTCGAACCATACTAAAACCAAACATCTGCTTCATCCCAAAGGACCTAAGTAGCTTATATCGCTGGTATTGTGGGAGAAGCGGGAATACTCCACGAAGAAAACTGGGGGGAAGTCACCTAATACTTAATCCTACTTATTACTGCAAGTGGGATGAACCACCAAGTAGTAAAATCACATTTGGGCACCCATCTTTCAGTTTTTATTCAATTTGGAGGTCTAGATCATGGCGATTGTGCCAACCTTCCAAGGACATTGCGACAGTACCCAATCAATGAATCCAATGATGATGGGGATTCATCGATTCTGGATGGAAATCCATATTTTAGAGACAAATGGTATACCCTTAGATACCACATGTATGGGACAATGGCTGATCACCCAACCCTGTGAAACCAGTCGCCTCATGTGAGAATTCCAGGTCCCGTTCTCAAACGGAACCCTCCTTCCAGAGGAGCTACAGATCCCTTCACTAATTGATCCGGAAGGGCGTTCAATGTGTCCCCATATTTTGATGCCAACCCCTGGGAAAATTAGCAGGAAAGCAACAGATTTCTGGTGAATATCCATGGTTTCCTGTACATCTTCCACTCCACCATCCACCCGCCACCATAGCAGCGTCAATGATGCGTTCGCTGGTGTGGGCGTTGAAAGAGCTGTGTGACAAGCTGCTTCCTGGGTCGGGTGAATCTTGTCAGGGTGTATCGCCATGTTTCCTTCTGAAAATTACCATTGAATGAGTACAGTATACCCCATTTAGACAAAGCGACAGTGGAGGTCAACAACCAGTCTAAGACTTCGATTGAACCAACGAATAGTGTGATTTTGTCAACAAAAAAATAGTGAACCAGCAAAGATGAGGCTTTAACCAAGAGCAATGCACCGTTCACCAGGAAACAGAGGGATCTTTTGGGGGCTCAAAATAAATCCCATGCCATCAGAGGCCCAAACCCGCATTGTCCAAGAAAGTCGGTGAAATACTTAGAAAGATTTGGAATGTCCCATCCGCAAAAGCTGGAAAGGCACTATGTTTCATGGATTGTTGGTCCTGCTACATTGATAGACGAAATTCCAAGTCTTGTGAGCTTTTACAATGTTAGTAAAGCAATAGTGCACCATCCCAAATTTTACCATGTTTAAGGGTGGTATAAACCAAAATATGGGCGGTTTATCATTGCTTTGCAAACATTTTTTGATCTTATCAATCATATGTCATAATGTAAAAACATATTATATAAATCATTTTAGTTTTTTAAATAATGTTATATAGCAAAGCAACTTAAATCATATTATATATAGATATACCCTCTGGTTATTTAACAGTTTGCCATGGAAAGATCCACCATGCTTTACTAAGAACGGTGTTTACCATCTATTTGGAACACGGCCTTTATCTGGCCGTGGTGTTTTTGTGATCAACGGGGTGTCATGGATGATGTTTGATGTGGTCGTGCCAATAGGATTTTGGTTGATGTGATTTCAAAGGCGAAAAAACCCTGATTCTGGTGCATAAAATCACAATCGAGCGTTTCGCCTAGGCGAAACTACCATTTTTGATGTTTCTCAGAACTCCCCAACTAATTCGACCTGTATTGTTTTGATGTGAGTTCAAAGACAAGAAACCCCCTTATTCTGGTGCATGAAATGAAAAAACAAGTATTTCGCCTAGGCGAAAACGCATTTTTTTGTAATTCCACATGTTATGTATTGATGAAGTTGGCACAGCCTGCCAGACGACCTTGCAACCGACCTGGATTTCAACATGTTATGTATTGATGAATTTGGCACAACCCACGCCCACCCATGTCTACACGCCCATAACGGCACACACAGAGACGAGTCCACTTACCTAGCAAGTTCACATGAACGTTAACACATGCCCCACCCCACCCCACCCATGTCTACACGCACATAACGGCACACACAGAGACGAGTCCACTTACCTAGCAAGTTCACATGAACGTTAACACATGCCCCACCCCACCCCACCCCACCCATGTCTACACGCACATAACGGCACACACAGAGACGAGTCCACTTACCTAGCAAGTTCACATGAACGTTACACACATGTCCCCACGTCTGCACATGACGGGACACACACTCCACTTACCTAGCAAGTACATTTAACACATGCCCCACCCCACCCCACACGCACATAACGACAGTCCACTTACCTAGCAAGTTCACATGAACGTTAACACATGCCCCACCCCACCCCACCCCATGTCTACACGCACATAACGGCACACACAGAGACGAGTCCACTTACCTAGCAAGTTCACATGAACGTTAACACATGCCCCACCCCACCCCACCCCACCCATGTCTACACGCACATAACGGCACACACAGAGACGAGTCCACTTACCTAGCAAGTTCACATGAACGTTAACACATGCCCCACCCCACCCCACCCCACCCCCCCAATGTGCACGAAAACGCACGGCCAGATAAAGGCCGTGCTCCAACTATTTCGATTAGGACCATGGCTTAACCATGGCTAGCCCTGTTAGTCATGTCATAACCAGAGGCTTAACCACGGCTGCACGTGAAAAATCTCCAAGGATCCAATCGATTGGATGATTTGAAAAAGCCCCGTGCGGCAATCCTGGCGAATAAAGCGAGCGAATCGGATGCTTGGTTTCGTTGATCGGTTTCTGATGATGAAGTCTTTACGAAAATAAGTTTGGTTGGTCGGTGGGTTGCTGAATGAGACGAAAATTTATGATTTCTTTGGTGAGTTCGATTTCTTTGATTTCTGAAACGGTGTGATAATCAGAGTGAGAAATTAGTAGCGATACAATAGCGATAAATTAGCGTGTTGATGAATTACTTTTAGTTTTGAAAATATCTTGTTCCAACATAGTGATGAATGAAAAATCATACTGTTCTATCTACGTTTGGGGTTACTAGAATTCATGAAAAATACAACTGTTGATTGGTTATTGTAGGGCTTATACTACTTGGGTATACTTGGGGAGTATTGTGACCCACAAAAAAAACACCTAGCCAGCTATAGCCCTACCTATAGGGAGTGCATCCCAGTAGGTCTCCCATCCAGTTGATCATTTGGGGGGTCCATAAATGTGGGCACCCCACGCTCGCTGGTTTATAAGGGAAAATCCTACTAACATAGATGATTTGGGGGTAGCCCTATTTCAGGGAAATAGGACATCCGCATAAAAATTTGTGCTTTCAAAAGTGCCATAAAATGGTGTAGGCGCCACAGCACCACATAGTTTTTTATCTGCAAGAATGGGACAAAGTTCAAAATGAAACAACCATACACAAACATGGTGCTCACACAAAAATCAAACAATTCTATTGGTTGATGGCTTTAAGCCATCTCGACCAAAATGGGGATGTCCCGATGATAAGATTCATTGGAGTTGAAAGCCGGGCTGACAGGGATTAGAGAAGTAATCTGAACCCTGAAAGGCCACCCATCAATTTTTATCGGTTTTTTGGGAGGGACTCGCTGAACTTGGGTCTAATAAGATCAATCCGGGGGTTATGTTACAGAAGTGGGTTAAGTCCAGTAAGAAGCGACAGGTTCTAATGCTCCAATATGCGACTCGCGACAGACTGGGATATGTAACACCCCTCACATGCACCACTTCGCTTCAATCTCCGTTTCTCCTGGCCAAATCTTGAGTGTTGTCTGTTGAAGGTCTCTACGACGGTAGGAGCCAGTTATGCCCATCAAAATATCAAAATATCTTAATTTATCTTAATTTTTTCTCAATATATCTTACTATATCTGAATATAAATATATATATATATCTCTTAAAATATATATATATATTAATATATATCTTAATATGTATATATATATAAATATATACGTATCTGAATATATATATATGTATTTACATGTATCTGAATATATATATATATATGTCTATACATGTATCTGAATATATATATATATCTGAATATACATATATATATATGTATATATATCTATGTATGTATCTGCAAATATATATATATATATGTATCTGAATATATTTATATATATATATATGTATCTTAATAAATAAATATATATATATATATGTGTGTGTGCGTCTTAATATGATAAAACTGGCTATATTGGAGTTTTACCATAGTTCGGCCATGGTGCTGTAGCTCTAAGTTCATCGCCTATTACTGGCGGCTCTAACCGAGGTTCCCGAAGGGTATACAGCGCTTACAATCCTCCAAGTATGAGTAAATCCCCCCACGAGGACCCCCAGTTCATTAATTTTGAGAGTCCCCAATATGTCAAGGCTAGCTCCAAACCCCTTTTTGATCATCCAACAACTGGAATAGAAACTGCTCAATCCTATTGGGATGTTTTGATGGGTAAATCCAACTTAAGTTGGTTACATTTACATATCTATATATATATATATATATGTATGTCTATATATATATGTCTATATATATATATGTCTATATATATATGTCTATATATATATATGTCTATATATATATACCCGCACACATATCCCATCCACACAACCTCCCCGAACGAACTGCACTTCGCCACTTTACGCGCTTCGCCGCAACGCGCGCCTCCGCAGTGATTTGATCTCCACCACCGGAGAGTTGGAGAAAGGACTGCGGCGCGGCACCCGCGGCGCCGGTGCTGTGAAATTTCCGACCAAAAAAGCCATTTCCCGGAGGAATTCAGCAAGAAAACTGGAAATTTCATGGGGAAATCAATGTATGTTGAGGATTATGATCATCTGGGAAACAACTCAATCAACTCGTATGCGATGGGATGCTCTCTTATTTAACATAGCTGTGGAAGCCATGGCTTACCAGAGGGTAAAAACCCAACAAGAATGAGGATATCGGAAATGTAGTACGATGTCATCTACAGATTGACCATCATTGACCGGCTCCCAAGCGTTTTTGTGCTTTTTGGATCGAGGTATATCTGCCAGATATTTTGGGATCTGTTTCACAAGAAATCCCGTCCCCATAGGCCTTCGGCCGAGTGTGTAAAAATCGGAAAAGCAATGGGTCAAACATATTAGACTTTGCTGGCTAACAGCTTGAAAATTCTTGGCTGTAACACTGTGAGAAACACTGCGTGGGGTCATCGTACCCAGATTATATGCTGATTCCCTAGAATATCAATCACTACCTACAGAGGCAAGACCATATTGGTTGATCACATTCAACAGGTGGCCCCATGGCCTTCTAGAGGATGACACCAAAAAATAAAACATCCACACCTAGCTACGTCAGCTATGGTCTGAACACCAGGGTGCAAGGGTTTTGATCCATATCCAGCTATCACTGGTGCTCTAGTTGTAGTATATATATGTGTATATTATAATATAATATAATATATTATATTATATTATATTATGTTATATTGTGTTATATCATATCATATCATATCATATCATATTATATTATATTATATTGTATTATAGTATATTATATTATATTATACATATTATACCTTATACTATATATATGTGTGTTCTGTATATGTATATATCTTGCTTATGTCTTATATATATATATCTTTTATATATATATTATATCTATTATATATATATATATATATTACATATGTCTTATATATGTTTATATTATGTATATATATATATAGTGTGTATATATATATTGTTATTTATATATATATACATATAAGATATATATATATATTCCTTTGAAAACTCAGGGTGAATCCTCCCAAACATGTCGTCTCCAACCCAGACGTTTGGCCACCACCTATGGTCATAAGGGATCAAACCTCCCACCCGCTATGTACAATATGTTGAATATTAACTTCAATTTATCTTCATAAGGGATCAAATCCGGCACCCCCTGGGAACAATACATTGAATAAGATATGATAAACATATGTACGTATAAATACATGTTTACCTACATATACAAATACTGGAACGCTTCCATAATTTTACCTTGCTGTGGTGCATCCAACCTGGTGAAGGGTCATGGTTATTCCGGCTATTCCATCCCAAGGGATTGCTGACAACACATAGTCATCCCACCCATGAAATTACATCACTTAAACGTGTTTCAAACATAAAATGGGAAAATTTTGTGGAAAAAACCATCCAGATAAAACATGATAAAACCAGTGTTTGTTAAATGGGTGGACATACTCCTAAAAAAAACAATCAGTGTAAAAGTGATATGGACAAAACAGTGTTCTGCTCTGTTCTGCCGGAGGTTCATCAAAAAAACCTTCCCAGCAGGAGCAACTGGATTTCTCCGTTGGACCAATGTTTGCCAGTTAAGATTCTCCAAAATGTTTTTGCTGAGCAAAGTTGGAAAATATTTTGCTCAAACTGGCAACTAAGATTAAAATCACTGACCAATTCCCATGTAGAAGGTCCTACAGAAAATTCCCGCAGCGGCCAAAAGGTGGTAGTGAAAACAGTGCATACTTGTCATGTTCAACACGTGAATGTTTTTTGTCAAATATGGGTTACACCCCCAAAGAAGACAGAACAATTTTGGTTTAACACCTGAAGTTCCTCACTTACCCTGAGATAAACTCAACTAGTTGTGGGAAATGATCTACATGTCTGGTGTGTTTTCCGTATTTATGTTAGTCCTTTGGAGGGCCAAAACATTTACCAGTAGTACCGCACAAGGCGGTGGCGGAAGTTTCAGAATAGGAAACCTATAGGAGAGCTTGGTTGTTGTGAATCACGGATAGCAGAGCGAATCCACAGATGGACTGAAAGGTGGCTGGAGCTGTGTTTTTTGCAGTGGCTACAATGTTTGCAATGGCTACCTGGTCGGTCACCTCACCCACAACTGCTGGATGTAGTGTGGTGTAGCGCAGCTGTAGTTGTAGTTGTACTGTGGTGGGGCTGTAGTTGTGGTGTAGTGTAGTGTAGTGTAGTGTAGTGTAGTGTAGTGTAGTGTAGTGTAGTGTAGTGTAGTGTAGTGTAGTGTAGTGTAGTGTAGTGTAGTGTAGTAAAGTGTAAAGTAGCGTAGTTGTAGCTGTAGTTGTCGAAGGAAGTTTAGAAGTCAAACTTCCGACAATATGGACAGATGAAAAGCAGAGATGGGAAGAGTCAGAGAAGAGAAGAAAGAAGATCAGAGAAGAGAAAGAGTCAAGTCAGAAGACAGAAGATGCAGGTGCGCAAAAAGGTGGCAAAGTCGCGAAACACTGTGTTTTTTCCAATGGTCGAAAAGTAGGCTCGCTAAAGCGGCGGGTGCGGAGCCAGCTGGCCAGATGAGAGATGAAAAATTGCACGCCGTTGTGGCGCGAAGCACGTTTCCAAGTCAAAATGTACAAAACACACCATGTTCTGACCACTTTTGGAAGTTGTGATGTCGAAAAAGTGCACGCCGTTGTGGCGCGAAGCACATGTCGAGGTCAAAATGTTAAAAACACTCCATGTCCGGACCATTTTTGGTCGTTCAGAGGGTTTTGTCGCATTTCCAAAACGATGGCAGGCGTGGGACATTTGAAGAGGATCTGCAAAGATGCATTTTCCGCGGCAGGCGCAGTACAAGAGACATGTTCATCAGAGATGTTAGGAGGTCCGGGCGCTGATTTCCTGGGAGGGGTTGCATTTTGGAGCCTCCGATCTTCAGGTTTGCTGAGATGATTTTGCGTGACAGGTGCAGCACTTCGTATGACCTGGCATCACTTTTTCGTGGCAGGTGCAATACTTTAGACAGGTGGAGTGGAAACATCGGAAAACGCATTGGTACGAGGCCGACAGCTCTGCACTCAACTTTCCATTTTTGAAGGACGTCTTTTTCGTTTCTGATGTTGTCAACTTCGAAAATTGAGTCTCGCAGAATTGTTTCGCCTGTGATGTTGTCAAGTTCAAGATTTGAGGAAGTCTCGCAGAATTGAACGTTTTTGACGTTGTCAAGTTCAAAAATTGATGGATAGAGGTAGCTAGGTAGATAGATAGATTGATAGATTGATTGATAGAAAGATAGGTAATTAGATGAGAGAGAGAGAGACAGAGAGAGAGAGAGAGATAGATAGATAGATAGATAGATAGACAGACAGATAGATAGATAGATAGATAGACAGACAGATAGACAGATAAGATAAGATAAGATCAGATGAAATAAGGTAAGAAAAGATAAGATTCGAATAAGATTAGATTAGATTAGACTAGGTTAGATTAGATTAGATTAGGTTAGATTAGATTAGATAGATTAGATTAGATTAGATTAAATTAGATAGGTTCGATTAGATAGATTAGCTTAGATTAGATAGATTAGATTAGATAGGATAGATTAGGCTAGATTAGATAAGATAGATAGATAAATTAGATAAAATAAGATAAGATAAGAATAGAATAGAATAGCATAGAATAGAATAGGATAGAATAGAATAGAATAGAGTAGAGTAGAATAGAATAGATTAGATTAGATTAGATTAGCTGGATAGATAGATAGAGAGAGATAGGTTGATAGATAGATAGATAGAGATAGAGATAGAGATAGAGATAGAGATAGAGATAGAGATAGAGATATAGATATAGATAGATATAGATAGACAGATAGATAGACAGATAGATAGACAGATAGATAAATAGATCGATAGATCGATAGATCGATAGATCGATAGATAAGATAGATAAAATAGATAAGATAGATAAGATAGATAAGATAGATAAGATAGAGAAAGAAAGAAAGAAAGAAAGGAAGAAAGAAAGAAAGAAAGGAAGAAAGAAAGAACGAAAGAAAGGAAGGAAGAAAGAAAGAAAAGAAAAGAAAGAAAGATAGATAGATAGATATAGATAGATGGATGGATGGATGGATTGAGGGATGGATGGATAGAGATTCGCTCTGCTATCCGTGATTCACAACAACCAACCTCTCCTATAGGTTTTCCTATTTTTGAAACTTCCGCCACCGCCTTGTGCGGTACTACTGGTAGCCGTTGTTGTAGTTGTAGTTGCAGTTGTAGTTGCAGTTGCAGTTGTAGTTGTAGTTAGCGTAGTGTAGTGTAGTGGAGTAGGGTGGAGTGGAGTGGAGTGGGGTGAAGTGGAGTGGAGTGGAGTGGAGGGGAGTGGAGCGGAGTGGAGTGGAGCGTAATTAGATGTAATTAGTCTAGTGTAGTGTAGTGTGGTGTCGTGTCGTGTAGTTGTAGTTGTCGTTGTAGTTGCAGTGTAGTGCAGTGCAGTGCAGTGTAGTGTCGTGTGGTGCAGTGTAGTGTAGTGTAGTGTAGTGTGGTGTGGTGTGGTGTGGTGTGGCGTAATGTAGCGTATTGTAATGTAATTAGCATAGTGTGGTGTAGCGTAGGGTCATGTAATTAGCGTAGTGTAGTTTAAGGTAGTGTTTTGTAGTTGTAGTTGTAGTGTGATGGAGTGGAGTTTTTGTAGTGTAGTGTAGTGTAGTGTAGTGTAGTGTAGTGTAGTGTAGTGTAGTGTAGTGTAATGTAGTGTAGTGTAGTGTAGTGTAGTGTAGTGTAGCGATAGTGTAGCGTAGTGTCGTGTAGTGTAGTGTAGTCTAGTCTAGTCTAGTCTAGTCTAGTGTAGTGTAGTGTAGTGTAGTGGTTGTAGTTGAAACTGGGATTTTTGACAAGGTGCACAATCGTTTGCGCTTGCCACGAAGTGGGCTCCGAACATGTGGTGCTTTTAGCATTTTGACTTGGAAATGTGCTTCGCGCCACAACGGCGTGCACTTTCTCGACATCTCAACTTCCAAAAGTGCTCCGAACCTGCTGTGCTTTGCGCGTTTTGACTTGGAAATGTGCTTCGCGCCACAACTGCGTGCACTTTTTTGACATCACAACTTCAAAAACTGCTCCGATGTTGGTGTGCCTTGCACATTTTGACTTCCAAATGTGCTTCGCGCCACAACGGCGTGCAATTGTTCGTCTCTCATCTCCCCAGACGGCTCCGCACCCGCCGCTTTAGCGAGCCTACTTTTCGACCCTCCGGAGCCACAAATCATTGGAAAAACACAGTGTTTCGCAACTTTGCCACCTTTTTGCGCACCTGCATCTTCTGTCTTCTGACTTGACTCTTTCTCTTCTCTGATCTTCTTTCTCTTCTCTGATCTTCTTTCTCTTCTCTGATCTTCTTTCTTCTCTTCTCTGACTCTTCCCATGTCTGCTTTTCATCTGTCCATATTGTCGGAAGTTTGACTTCTAAACTTCCTTCGATCATTTACCCACTTAAATGGGTGTGTTGGTGATCTAAATGAGCTTGTCTGAAAATCATGGGGAAACACCCGAATTCCACTGGCTTATCATCCTACTGTATTCCGATTTATCATTGCCATGGTGGCGCAAATCCTACAAAATCTAGACCCAAAACATATCAAGTTGGTGAGACATCTCCCATATCCCCATTGTATCCCCATTGTATTCGAATAATTTTAACTCTTAAATCAGTGAAATCCACCATTTCTGTGCAACAACATGTAAGTAAAAATTGGCAAAAAAAACCAACGGCCCAGTGCCACGAAGGGCGCCTCAAGGGCTTCCGCTTCGTTCAAAGGATTCAAACGCAACAGCATCACGAAACTGCTGCAGTCGATGGCAAAGGCCTGGAAGATCAGCTGGGCTGCTAATGTGTCGCCACCAGAAAAGGTCCATCGAAAAATTCTAAGTCTAACTGTGTATACCTACATCTGTTAGGGAAAGCGTGCATTCTATTCATTCTATTCTATCGCTGTTTTGTTCTTGTTTTTTAATGTAAGGATTTACCATGTATATATTATACATAAACATAATTAAACATATATGTTGTATGACCTAATACACAAGAGAAAAACTCCAGCAGTGTTAAACAAAAAAACATCCAAACTGAAGCCCTCAAAACAGTTAAAGTTAGACCAACCACGTCTAACGAAACAAATGATTCAAACATTTTCGGACTTACTCGTTTACCACTCATGTCCCCATGTTTTTTTGATGTAAAGGTTGTACCTCCAAACAAAAAAACATAAAACAAACCACAAATAAAACCAATTGATAGTCTTGTTTTAAAAAATACTCCATTGGTTTATTTTAAAATATTTTAAAATGTGTAGTCTCAATCAAATCATCAAATCTTCAGTTCCGGCCTCGTTGCTACTGGCGATTTTGAGCAGTTCGGTGTCCACATCTTGGACACCACCTAAAAAGGTCTGAAGGTCGATGTGATGCTCAAATGATTCAACTGACCATCTAGGATTTATGTCGATTTATGTGGATTTATGCAATTTATTTGGTGTTGTTTTTCGAGAAATTATGCCATTTATGGTGATTTTTTCCGGATTTGTTTGCCAACAAATCTACTAGCAGAGCTGTTAATGAATGTAAATGGTTCAACCCCAAAAAAATGGAGATATCTCGTTTCATATGAGTCCCAGTCACTACCGATCAATTTTGTCTGGTCCATCTCATACTCAAAAAAAAACATTATGCAGTTTCGGACTGGAAAACACCACCAAGCAATATGCGATTCTTTTTTGTGAATCACGCTAGGGGAATTCCGTGAATGGAAAAAACACATTCCGCGAAATTCCCAGTCCCATCTGGCTGACCGTGGCTTCCGGTGTCATCTTCCACCAGGTTTGCTGGAAAATCCCCCATGTTCAGATGGATTTTCCCACAAAAAAAAGTGCCCAGTTCGGGGATTTTCCAGCCGCGTTTGATTTTAAAAAAAACAGGTAAATGTCCAAAGAAATCACCATGATTCACTGTGAATCACCGTTATTCACCAGTATTAAGTATGATTTACCATTATATATTCACCATTATTGACCGTTATTGACCATTGTTAACCATTATTAACTATTATTAACCATGAACTTTTTTTAATGGACGTGAAACCCAAAAAAACACACACAGCTCCTTCCACGTCCACGTCTTTCAGCCGGAAGCACTGTACTGCTCCAGGAAGGTACGTAGTGGTGGGTTGTCCGGGGTCAGCTGGGCCTGCCATGGCAATATCTCATGGTTCTGTACAACATAGAAATATGTTTGGAGTATCCCAAGATCGGATAAGTATGGAAATTGTGGTGAATGATCCGAGTTCGTAACTAAGTAAGTGCAGTAAGCGTAATTGTCTCCACTTCGATTCCACACTCCTGCACATATATGTGTGATGGTCAAGTTTCACGGTATATTATCTATAACATATATATATATAGACTCTATATATAGACTCTATATATAGACTCTATATATAGACTCTATATATAGACTCTATATATAGACTCTTTATATATATATATATATACATAATATATATATGTACATATATATGGGATTCTGAATGGGATTCCTGGTAAAGGGATTCTTTCTGATCCCATTCAAGGAATGACCATCCAGTTTAAGAGGTCCCCGTTCCGCAGAATGGTGGATCCCGGCTCCAGAGGTCATCAGTCTATCCCTAGGAAAACTACAGTAACATCTGTAAAACCAACCAGGGCATATCAATGTATATGATGACATATGCTGTATGTATATACATATTATATACATTTATATATATATATATATATACATATGTAGATGTATATGTAATGAAATATATATATATATACACATGTGTTTGTGTGTCTTGCACCTTGATGGCTCAAAAAACCTTTGGAGTGCAAATGCCACTAGCTTTTTACTCCTTGAACAGAATCATATCCAGTCAAGAGATGTATCCTCATTTGGGAATGAAGTACTTCAGAACCTCTTAGAATTGACTTTGCCTGTGCTTCAATTTGCTGCATCATACTATATATATATATATTACATATATTCCTATGCCTACTTCAGGAGGAACAAAGTTTATGCTTCTTGAAAGCTTTACAAAACACCCATTTCGGTCAACCACGGATCACATTTTCAAGTCCGTTTTGTGTGGCAGGTGTGGGACGGTCAATTATCACCCTCTTTTAAATATATAAGATTTTAACGCTTTTGGAGGGTGGAAATGCGACCGGGGTACGGCAAAGCTCCATGCTAGGATTCTACCGGGGAAAGGGTGTGCAGAAGAAGAAACCAACCATGTTCACTGTGGGAAGCTCAACAAGCGCAACTTTTGTCCTACCAGTGCGTCACGGCACATGTGTAGCAGTGCAGACAAAGAAGATGGAGACAGACGTGTTATGTGGAGTAATGACCAAGCTGAAGCAGGTGCAAAAATCAGCAAATGACTTGGCAATTCCCACTAAATAAGCTTTTTGTACCCTGCGTCACGGCACATGTGTAGCAGTGCAGACAAAGAGGATGGAGACAGACATGTTATGTGGAGTAATGGCCAAGCTGAAGCAGGTGCAAAAATCAGCAAATGACTTGGCAATTCTCACTAAATAAGCTTTTTGTACCCTGCGTCACGGCACATGTGTAGCAGTGCAGACAAAGAGGATGGAGACAGACATGTTATGTGGAGTAATGGCCAAGCTGAAGCAGGTGCAAAAATCAGCAAATGACTTGGCAATTCCCACTAAATAAGCTTTTTGTACCCTGCGTCACGGCACATGTGTAGCAGTGCAGACAAAGAAGATGGAGACAGACATGTTATGTGGAGTAATGACCTAGCTGAAGCAGGTGCAAAAATCAGCAAATGACTTGGCAAATCCCACTAAATAAGCTTTTTGTACCCTGCGTCACGGCACATGTGTAGCAGTGCAGACAAAGAAGATGGAGACAGACATGTTATGTGGAGTAATGACCTAGCTGAAGCAGGTGCAAAAATCAGCAAATAACTTGGCAATTCCCACTAAATAAGCTTTTTGTACCCTGGGTCACGGCACATGTGTAGCAGTGCAGACAAAGAGGATGGAGACAGACATGTTATGTGGAGTAATGGCCAAGCTGAAGCAGGTGCAAAAATCAGCAAATGACTTGGCAATTCCCACTAAATAAGCTTTTTGTACCCTGCGTCACGGCACATGTGTAGCAGTGCAGACAAAGAAGATGGAGACAGACATGTTACGTGGAGTAATGACCTAGCTGAAGCAGGTGCAAAAATCAGCAAATGACTTGGCAATTCCCACTAAATAAGCTTTTTGTACCCTGGGTCACGGCACATGTGTAGCAGTGCAGACAAAGAAGATGGAGACAGACATGTTACGTGGAGTAATGACCTAGCTGAAGCAGGTGCAAAAATCAGCAAATAACTTGGCAATTCCCACTAAATAAGCTTTTTGTACCCTGCGTCACGGCACATGTGTAGCAGTGCAGACAAAGAGGATGGAGACAGACATGCTATGTGGAGTAATGGCCAAGCTGAAGCAGGTGCAAAAATCAGCAAATGACTTGGCAATTCCCACTAAATAAGCTTTTTGTACCCTTCAGGAGGAACAAAGTTTATGCTTCTTGAAAGCTTTGCAAAACACCCATTTCGGTCAACCACGGATCACATTTTCAAGTCCGTTTTGTGTGGCAGGTGTGGGACGGTCAATTATCACCCTCTTTTAAATATATAAGATTTTAACGCTTTTGGAGGGTGGAAATGCGACCGGGGTACGGCAAAGCTCCATGCTAGGATTCTACCGGGGAAAGGGTGTGCAGAAGAAGAAACCAACCATGTTCACTGTGGGAAGCTCAACAAGCGCAACTTTTGTCCTACCAGTGTATATATATATACACACACTCACCAAAAAAAGTATGCCTGCACCAGGAAAAATGTATGATTCCTGTGGGTCTATATTTCCTGGCAATCCCAAACAACCAAAAACAAACAGTCGTAAGTCATCATGACAGCAAAAACTCCCATCTAAGGCGGTTGGATGTACTGAAACTAAACACCCTTCGGGATAAAGAAAAAAATATGTTGATGTGTTTACACCTTGATATCTTTTTTCAGGTGTTTTTCCGTTTGGACGGTACTCCAAAATGGGTAGCTTTTCGGTTTGAAAACCCTGGGCCACCTGATCTCCAGCCATTTTGCTGAAAGCGGCTGAATAGGCGGCTTCTTCAGAGCCCTGGCAGATGGGACCCGGCAGCCGCGAAAAAAAAAACGTTGGGGTCGTTTACCCTCTGGTTATGTCAAAATAGCTATTGAAAATGGCCATTTATAGTGAGCTTTCCCATTAAAAATGGTGATTTTCCATAGCTACATTAATTTACCAGAGGGTACAACTGGTTGGTGGTTGACGTACCGCTCTGAAAAATGATGGAGTTCGTCAATGGGAAGGATGACATCCCATTTTTTTTTTGGAAAATACAAAATGTTCCAAACCACCAACCAGACAAGGTGTCCATAGTCATTGGGGGTACCCAAGCTGGATAGTTTATCATGGAAAATCCCCCAAAAGAATGGATGATTTAGAGGTCCCCCAGCCATTGGGAAACCTCCATGAGGGGTTACCTTCAGCTGGTGGGCCGGTGGGGGAAGTCCAACAGGTTTTCCGTGGTGAGACATGGAGTTTTTTTGATGTGTCAACAAGGAAAATGTAAACATAACCAGTCAACAAAATGAAAATCGATGGAAACAGAAACTGTTTACAAGTTTCATCAAGTTTCTGTCTTTTGACGACTTAAAACATATGCCTAGGCTGCTCGGAAAATAGCTGAAATCCCTTTTTATGTTTGGCCTGGAGCTGTCCAGGGAAGCCCAGGAACCTACCGCTGAACTTGGGATGCAAGTATTAAACTACCCGTAACTGTGAACGAACATAGATCATCATAGATCTAGAAAACCCAGAAATTTAGATCATGTTCCATTTTCCGAGGTTTCCCCGGTGTGCACATCTTCCGCAGCTGAAACCCGAGGCTGCTCCAATGAGTTACTGGATGTTACTGGATCGTGATTCCCCATAGTTATAGTTGGTTCATCCTCATTTTAACTATTGTTACCCTCTGGTTATGTCAAAATAGCTATTGAAAATGGCCATTTATAGTGGAATTTCCCATTAAAAATGGTGATTTTCCATAGCTACGTTAAATTACCAGAGGGTAGTTGTTTATATCAGTTATATCACTGATACTGTGGTAAACCCAACAACAAACCATCCAAAAAAAAAACACATTTTCTTGCTAAACTGGGTGGTATGTATAAACCATCCCCAACAAAAGGTAGCTTTATGGCATTGGATCAGTAATGTGAAAACTGATATAATTAACTTATCCATTTAATAACTATTCTTATAATGCCTAAGTAGTATGAAAACTATTCATTATATCCCAACAACTACATTGTTAGTTGATAAGTACTTATATATATATATATATGAAAACTCTTCTTAGTTGGTCAAAAAATCTCAGTGACACCAGTAGACATCACTAGCCCGGCTGAAATTCGTCACCTCCAAATCCTCCAGAATTTTCTCCAGGCTCAACTTGGGCGACCGAAGATCCCTGAGACGAGTCACGTCAGAAACGGAGAAACGCTTGGAATGTCGTTCGGATGTTTAAGATGCTGTCCTGTCAAGATCCAGACTTCAAACATCTTTAAAACCATTGGAAATGTCATCCAATATGGCGTCCAATCTTTGGTAGAATGATTTCACCAAGGAAAACGGGCTCCGCAGTTTGTGTGAACCAGCAACAAAAGGTCAGCAAAATCGAGAAAATCAACAAGAGAAATGGCGGGTTCAAAAGATTTCATCAACCAAAATGTGGAGTTGACCACCGAAAAATGGTGATATGTCACGTATGTTAAAAGATGAATGGTCAACGAAAAGTTGAAAAGTGAATATCAAGGAACCATGCTCAAATCATCAACGAACCATGTTCATCCATGTTTCCATAGATATACCCATGACGGATCCATGGTGCTGGTATATATGCTAACATGACTGGGGTATATTGATGGTAAATGTTACCATATATGGCATCCATGTTTCCATAGATATATGAAATTGTCAGTGCAAAAATCTTCGTCCCATAGCCCTCCAGCCGCCTGGCAGGCTTGGGCTTAGGCTTGGCCACTGCCGTGCCCTAAGTCACCGCACGCCGTGAAAAATCCCAGGCTTTCTGTTTCTGTTGTGGCCTTTCTTGGTACAAAATGGGGGGTTCAAATGGGTTCAATGCCATCAAAAATGGCAACTGTGGGGAAATCATGGTCAACCATTTTTGGCTTTCGGTGACCCTGTTTGTTCGGGGACAAAGCCAACTTAAGCCGTAAACCGCCAGCTTAACGTGGAGAGAAAGCTGGGGGGATGTTAGCAAAAATTGGATTAAGATGATGAAGGGTTTTTGGACGACGATCTTACTCCAAAGAATGATCACACCAGATTCTATGATGGGTTGAGAAAACCATATAAGAAGGACGCCAACCGGGTGATATTGAGGGTTCAACCATGACAATGTTGGTGCTTTTTCCCTATTCGGAACTGGATTTCATGATTTCATCAAGAATGGGGATACTAAGTCCATCCATATAACTCCGGATAAAATTGGAATATCTATAATCATATTTTATTTATATATATATATATATGTATCCGGATATGAATATCATATGTTTATATATGTATATTATAAATTTTATGTTTATATCATATGTATTTATATATATATATGTATAAATTAAGTGGATATTGAGCACAAGTCCAATTAGAATATTGACGATGATCATGGGGATATTGACCCAGAAATATGCGGTGAACAGGAGTCAACTGCTTACGTGGTTTCAACGGTTCAAACATGTTCAAACCCGTCCCAGAAATGGCCATGTCCATGACATATATTTACCCATTGGGGATCATCGTTCCAAAACGAAAGGAATTCGAAACTGGTGGGGCCACGCGGAACACCCAAAAACATGTGCTGAAGAAACAGGTCATTGCCGCCACTTCTTTCTTTGAAAGCTGTCCTGGGCAATGATTTTTTGTTCATGTGCATACTGCTCAGTTCTTCAAACCAGAAATCCAGGTGGAAAATTCTTCTCGTAGCTCCTGCTTAGCTAGCAGCTAGAAACTGTCAGACCCCCACCGTGGGCCATGCCCAAAGAGGGGTCTACTGTAAGCTGTTCAGAAACCAAAAAAGATTCAAACCAGTATGAGTTCCATCAAGTTCCACACCGAGAATCCTTTGGGATCTTAGACACCCCGCTAAACCGTTGAGTAATTTTGAGTATCACCAGTGAACCTTCCCAGCCAAGCTGCAGCAGCTGGTGCAGGCGGGGGCGGCGGTGCAGAATATTGCTCCTGTGGAAGGCGAGAATGATGGTGATATATTGGTGATATAACTGATATATATATATATGTATATATATATATTAATATATACATATATATATATACATACATACAGATATCCAACTAGTAACAATGGCTGTAATGGGAATTAATCGTATAAACAACTAGTAATGGCTATTTAATGGGAATTCACCAACTATAACTAGGGGAACCATGACAATTGATATAGCCTGATATAGCCGCTAGGCTTTTCAGTGCTCCAAGAAGATATTTGGAAAAGTCATGGTTTCCCCCCATCTGTGTTACAGGAGGGTACCCATTTTCAGAGTCATGGCCGAGATGGTGAAGATGGTCCAAAAAAAGAGTGGTTACATAGAGCTGTGTGCTTCTCTGAAATATCCCATTTCATGATACCCTCTGGAATTTTTAAAATAACGATGGAAAATCACCATGATTAATGGGAACATCCACTATAAATGGTCATTTTCAATAGCTATGTTAAATTACCAGAGGGTAAATGACATCCCCTAACATTGGTGTTTTGATGCGGAATAAAAATCATGATTCCCCCACGTTTTTAGGCCGGCTTTTTTGGGGGGATGATTCCCCAATTCCCCACATCTCAACCACCATGTTATTCAAGTTGTGAGGTCGCCATAGCCGGGTGTCATAGCCTCAGGTGATGGCACGCTGCATGTTGGGAATGACTGCATGTCGTCCTTCTCCAAGTGGATCTGTCTGGTGATGAAATCCAGGGCTGGTAAAAATGTTTGATGAAAATGATCAGCTTCGTTTTCTACCAACAACAGGTGTTTTTTGAGAAACTCTCATGTGAAATGACATGGCACATTGTGGAGTCTAGTCTCTGCCGCAACGCAAAAACTGCTGGCAACTGCGGTCCGTTCATACCAAATTCGATCCAAAATCATCAGCCATGCGATTTCCCACCGGACAAAACATCCACGGAAAACACCTGGTGACCCAGTGGCGTGTCCTCCTCATGTTCTGGCAAGCGATTGGCGGCTTTAGCCTTGCCTGGAGATGCCGGAGATGCCGAGGTTTAAATTTTGGATCACGAAAAGATATGGAATGGGGACGGATGTCATTTTTCAAAATCGTGAAACTATAGAAGTACCAGCATTTTAAGGGAAAAACCATGTGCAACAGAGATTTTTTTCTCTGTGCGTCCATGGATAAGATTTTGTGCGAGTCCACCAACACAACAGTGAAACGAATAGAGCCCACGAGCCTGGGGATTTTGTTGGTTTCATGTCTACATGGAAAACTTATATGAATTGATCGGTCAACAAAAGTTGAGGAATTCTCAAAAAAGCAAAGTGACCCATCAACAAAAAAAACATCTAATAAAAAACTATACAGTTGGTTTATAGGTTTCCCGAAGATGGGTTACCCTCTGGTAAACGTTTACATAACTATGGAAAGATCCACCATGTTATAGCTAGGTAAATCCACTATTTCTATGGCCATTTTCAATAGCAAATTGTTAGTCATTACCACCCATTAAATCCCATTAAATCCCATTAAATCCCATTAAATGCCATTAAATGCCATTAAATGCCATTAAATGCCATTAAATCATGGTGAAATGCCCCATGTTTCATGTTACAAATTACCAGAGGGTATGTCATAATCCCCAAGAATCGCTAGCTAAATCGTCCCATAAATCGCCTGGTCGGAGGGCAGACTGATCCTCAGCGGCACCGGGACCCTACAAAAATGATGGGGGGTTCAACCAAAAAAAAATGTCTACTTCACCAGCCTTTTGATGGCCGACTTATCCAGATCTGGCTGGGTCTAATGGGGAAAATGATGACAAATGATGGGTTTTTTTCATGGTAGAGTCATGTTCCCCTGTACGATGGCCACATGGAGGGATTTTTTTCTGGAAAAATGCCCAATTGTCGGGTCCGAACATATCTCAGTTTCCCTGAAATCGCTTGAAATATGACCCAAATCTGATGGTGACAAGAGTTTCTTGGCAACTGTTTCCCCTCAAACCAGCCCATTGAAACATCGGTTGGAGCATATTGTAGGGTTCTTCCATCCCCACCAGTTCTCCTGCCTATTCATGCCTATTCCTATTGGTTCCTATTGGTGCCACCTCGAAAGACCAGTCGAAAGTCACGATTTTGGGCTGTTTGGCTGGTAACAGCATCTATAGAATCTAAGTACGATTTCTCTGGATATGTCGAATAATGTTCGGACATCCGTTGGGATGTCCGAACCCATTAAAAAGCCCCATTCTTGCTGGTTCGATGAAAAATCCCCAGGTTCGATGTTTTTGTACATTCCCATTTTTGGGTGGTACTTACCATCATGTTTTTGGGGGGTCAATCATCACTTGTTCACATATATAGCCCCCTAAAATTCTTTCTGGCTAAATTTTCATTTGTTGGTGGCAAAGGGCAAACTCCCGGTCCTGTTGCCGGTTCCCCATGTTCAAAAAAATAACGTCGGTCAATATCCTGGTTCATTGTAGTTCACAAAAATTCCATGTTGACAAAATATTATCCCCTAGGTCTTAATACATGGAAGGTTGCCCATAGGTCTTGGTACCCATAGAGTGGTCATTTTACAACGAGACTTCGCCATGCGACCTTTGGATATAGACCCAAAATCGGACCCATAGATGAAGGTCGTTGCTTGCATTCTAATCAGGTGAGCCTAAACACCATACCATCTCAATTTACCCAACCGACCATACCCCAACAATCTTAGGTGTTTCTGGCAGGTGGTTTTTTTTGCGAAAGTCAGTTTGGCTCATCAACCCCAAACCAGTGATAAACCATCAAATTTGGGGGGCTCCCAGATAAACTGGGTATGTTTCGACCGTCATGTCAGCCCCAGAGTCAATCTCCACCCTTTGCTCGACCGCATCCTCCTCCTTGGAGTCAAGAAAAATAGGGAACTCTTGGGAAGCCCTGAAAAAGATATATTCGTAGGATAATCTAGTTATATAATAATCATCAATAATAATCCGTATAATCCAATTCCCCTACATCTGTCAATACTGTGATATCAATAGCGTTCTGAACCTGGCGAACACCCGAACACCCTGAATCTGGCGAAACTTGCTGGTGCTTCAGATGGTTCAGATTCACCAACCAAAATCCAGCTGTGAGATTTATCCTGGATCATCCTGGATCCATCTGGATCCGGGGTTTCCGAAAACGTTTGGATCGTCCCCATAATTTTCATCCGGTTCCATCGGCCGTGCACTTTTGAGTTATCCAATGTTATCCATCATTCCAAGATCGACCCCAGGATTCCAGGATGGGATTGGAATATCCAAATGTTGAAAAGAAAAATTGGCCGGTTTCCTCAGTTTCCCCCAATTTTGATCTTTGAATATGAATTACCAAATTACCCGGGGATCCCAATAAGAAATTTTGTGGATCACTGGATTTCTCCGAAATGGGTGATCTCCCAGGTTTCTTCCAAGGCTACCCATCTGTGAAACCATCGGTGACTCATTCATTAAAAAGGGCACCGGAAGATCCTTCGGATTGTTGAATCCACATTGGAAAAACATGTGTGCTGGTGACAAACCATCCATGGTTTTTCACATGGGTTTTTCACATGTGTATGGAAATTCAACATGAATCAACCACATTAGTTTTTCACCAGTTACATCAAGTTAAACCATGTATGGTGCTGCCATGACTGCATACGGATGTGTCTGTCTGAAAAAATAACCATCAAATCCCATGGTTTAGGACCTAGGAATTTAGGAAATCACCAAATCCCCTTGACATGAAATGGGGTATCCATGGGTATCCCACATGGGAAAAAAACGAACTATATTCTTGGCTGGTGTCGCTTGTACGCCTCCATTTATATATATATATAAATAATTATATCTATATATAATTATATATATACACACATGTAATTATATAATTGTTATCACAATCACATGTTTTTATCTATACATTTACATACATCTCTCCATAAAATAGGTGGTTGAATACCCCCCATGTTGGCCAGGGCCAAGGTACAGCTCCGTAACCGCATCCACACTCCTTCGCAAGGTCCTGGAACTGCTGGAGCAACTCAGCAACCACAATTTTTGTGGCCAAGTTGAGCCCAAAAAAACAAAGAAAAAATGGGCGATTGTTGGAGCACAATTGTGGTAAAATCCAAGAAAAGTTGGTTGAATACATGAGAATTGTTGAGCCCAATCAATCATTCACAAGAATTGGGGTTGAGGAACAAAATCTGGATGATTAAACTGATAGAAACCAACATGTGACCAATAGAAATGGACATCAAGCACAAACGATGAAGATGAAATGGTAATTTCAGCAACAAGCATCCGCTTGTAGGGTCAAGAATTACCCAGATATGGAGATCAGCGGCAAGTGCCCCTTGCAGAAGGGCCCCTAAAGATCCCACAAAGTCTAGTTCCAACGGCAAGCGACAGCCGAACCCGGTTGTCTCACCGACAGAACAACGGACCAAAAAAATGCCCATTGGAACAGATGACGGGATTTCCAGATGCTATATTTGTTTACTGAAGGTGCACGTAAAGAACATATTTGAAAAAAATATATCTTTTGTGCTTTATTCAGGTGCTTCAGCTTCTGTGCTATTTTCCGCTTTCCCAAGGAGAAATTGTCCCAGCATGGCTTGAAGGTAAAATTTGCGAAAATCCCTTACAGTAGCAATTTGGATGTTGATGATGGTACAAACATATCAAACATGGGTTGGTTTGGTTCTTGTCAAGATAACATAGTGAGAGTGACCAGTGTCCTTGTTTCTATTCCATTCTTGGATATGAATTCTGAAATTGAGTGTGGTCTCCAGTATCTTTCGCCAACATCTTAGAGAGCCTCAGACAGTGGAATAAGACAGGATATTACATATATTCCTCCATCAAAATGGCCCAAATAATCAGACATGTGCATTGCAAACTCTTATATCTGGGTCCCAAAACCTATGATTGAATGGATTGAAATCGTTGGTCTCGATTGATTTTAAGCATTTCTCAACAACTTACTGGTGCGTTTTACGTAGGGAATTTTCGGGAATGATCCCAGTCATCACTAGTAATAATCATCCCATTCCCCCCATTGTCATCCATTCCCTGCTAAGCACCAGTAAGACAAAAATTCTCCAAATCTTCCCACAGTTTTCGCAGGCGCACCATGACCCCTTCTCCTGCCCCATGAAGCTCCAAGCTTGGCCGCAAGTCCGTGACGCGTGCAACGCGGCCCGGGTTCGGTTCGGCTGAAGCGAAGCTCGGCCCGGAGGTGCAGGGAGTGTGGTATTCACCCATGGTTTTTACCCAATTTTATGTCAGTAAAGCAATGCCATAAAGCACACATCAAAATTCATGGTTTATACTACCATATAACCACCCATTGATACGAATTTTGGGGATGGTGGATCCCATTGCTTTACTAACATTACTTGGCCATCACACTTTTTTTACCAGAGATTGGTGGAAGTAATTGTGAGTTTTGTATGTATCATTGTATCTATCATTCAAACTTGTGGATTTATTCTCGGATTTGCCACAGCATGGAGATATTTTTGGAGTTATAAGTTATGATGTGACACACAACCAACTTGGGTTCAGACCAACCCATATATGGATGGTTGGTAAAATTAGAGACCCGACCGAAAGGACCACCATCATCATCTTTACAAAACCCAATCCAATCATCAAGCATCATTCCATCATCATTAATTCTATTACACCAGCCAATTCAGTCAGGAATTCCATAGTTTTGGGGCCCCCAATTTTGGAGAAACATCCATACAGGTCCAGCAAAATGTGGAATTCCAATTTTCATCAATTTTCCATAAACCGTCCCATATTGAGATTCCGGGTGGAAAAATAGACATTTTTCGTGATTGATCATCCCCAGTCGTAAGTTTAGAGAGTCCCATTATGGTCAGATCAACCGATCCGGTCAGATCTCCGAGAAAGCGGCCAAGAATCCAAAAAAATCCGAAAATCTTCAACGTGGTCAATCCGAAGCTAAAAGAACTGGCATCTATACCCTCTGGTAAACTAACATAGCTATGGAAAATCACTGGTTTTAATGGGAAAATCCACTATTTCTATGGCCATTTTCAATAGCTACGTTAAATTACCAGAGGGTAAGTTTGTATGTCATGTCTATATGACCAAGTCTATATCTCACTTCTTAAGGGTTCCACTTAAATTCCGCACTGGATTTTCCTAGATTTGAATCCCGCTTAGTATGTGGCGTTCCTAGCCACGTTTGTGATCCAGTTGCCAATGGTCCCACCCCAGAATAGTAATAATGATAATAATAATAATAACAATATATATATATATTATATAATAATATAAATATATACATATATTATGTATATATATATATTATTATATTATATATATATACATATGTACCCCTGCTGAATTCACAAATGTGTAGATGATGTTTTCCTTTTAAACATTGCCATTTGCAATGGCATGGCTTCCAACTACCAGGTTTTTTTTTGTTTACTCGATGTGGTTTCAACCTGTGGCTTCATCAGAATCTTCAGTGGTTCCAACCAGGTCTGGTGTTGGTTTTCAAGAATTGAAGCCGATGAATTTAGAAAATTGCATGTCCTTGGGTAACCAGAAATACTTCAATGTATTTTTAAGTTCCTTTCGTGATTTGGTTATGAAAAACACACGAAAGTAATCAAGCACGGAGATGAAAAAATGATGTGTGGAACAGGTGAGGTTTTTTCCGGGGCCTTGGGCATACCAGTTGTCGACTTATTCAATCATATGTTTTTTTTTGTGGAAAAATAACCAATATACCCGTGAATTCCCAGGTATCAACTAATCCCCGGTTATCATTGCCTCCAGTGTCATCAAACATGGCAAACATGGCAAATCTCCGAACTAAAAGTGCTGTCCGGGAAAATCATCGAACTAAATGAGGGACTTATCCAGCCAGGGCCCCGGCCAACCAGAAATGTGGGCGACCGTAGAACCATGGCTCCTGCCGAGTTTGGAAGGTGAACAGCGGTAAATAGTTCAATATTGTCTGATTCTATCAGCAAATCTTGCTGAGTGACATAAGAAACAACTTACATATAATATGTATACATATTATATATGTGTATATGTACACTATGTAGAAATATATATATACATAATATATATATATATATTACACGTGTATATATATATATATATACGTACGCATATATATTGTGTTTTTCCAGACATCCATCTCCAAACATGCATGCTTCGATGCCTTGGCCGTGCTGTCGCATATCCATATAGGCTCAGGAAGACTCAGGGGGTCACGGTGTGTGCAAAAGGGCGTGGTTCGCCGCTTCATGGGTGTTGGCCAGGGACGCCACTAAATCGAGAAGTGTAACAAGTTTGGACAGGGAATCCATTATCTATCCTTGTGGTCAAGGACTTCTGATCAGGTGGTCAAGGTGGAAGATTTGGTTTAAAGGCCCGTTACCAGTTCAACACTGGTAGCGGAGCCAGAGGGATCACCGCTGCCAGCCTGGTTGCTTGCTGCGAAAGTGAGTGGATCCAGGGAATATGGAAATTTCCAATGGCGGTGGATCGACTGCGACTGGAGGTTCCACAGGAAATTCATTTCTCCCATGGCACTTGATACCTTCATTTAAGCCTGGAGAGACCGAGATAAATGAGTACACGAGACGACTGGAGTTTCTTGCCAATATCTGGCCCCCAGAACATTTGCCTCAGCTCGCTCCTCGAGCTTGCATGTTGTGCGAAGGCACAGCCTTTGCAAAGGTAGTGCGTCTGGATCTGGAGAAGCTTCGAGTCGGTACCACAGATGGTGTGAAGCTGGTCGTGAGACCCTTGGGGGAGTCTGGGGGCAATCTCGACTGGAAAAGAAGTATGAAAGGTTTGAACGTGCAATTTTTGGAACGATTCAAAAGGCAGATGAAACTCATGCCAGTTATTTGGCCCGACATGAAGTGCAATATGAAGATTTGATTAGCATGGGTGCCACCTTGGAGGAGATGAGGGCCTATATCTTACTTCGAAACTCAGGTTTGTCTGCTGATGATAAAAAGAAGGTCATCATGGACGCAAACGGTGAACTTGAGTACACCAAAGTGACGGCAGCACTGCAATTGTTGGGTTCCAAATTTTTTGGAGAGGTTCAACAGGGTTCCAGCAAAAATCAGACTCGCACCAAGACTTATGATGCAAACATGATAGACGAACAGGAACAAGATGTTGATGATGGAGATGAGAATGTCTTCTTAGCCTCCGAGGTTTCTGAAGAAACTGCATTTGACATCATGATGGCTGAAGGAGACGAAGATGCTTTGGTTATCCAGCAATTTGAAGATGCAATTCTGGATTCTCTGCAATCTGACCCTGATGTAGCCTCCTGTTTGAATGCCTATGTGGATGCGAGAAAGCGCCTCCTTGACAAAGCCAAAGGACGTGGATTTTGGGGTCCCTCAAAGAACAACAAAGGGAAAGGTAAGGGAAAATTCAAGGGTGGTTTCCGGTCTCAGTTCAGAAAGCCTCTAGCCCAACGAATACTGGAAAGCTCATGCAGGATATGCCATCAAAAGGGGCATTGGAAAGCAGAATGTCCACAAAGGTTCACGACAGGTTCAAATGCCGCTGCACCAGCATCCGGCGCACCCGCTGCCTTTGCCGGAGTGTCCCTTGCCACTGATGGCGATCCGATTGAGCCTGATGGTGACTTAGTGACTGAACTGCCTGAGAATGCCGTGGCGTTCACTGTGGAAGAGGTTCGAATCAGAAATTCATCCCTTTTGAGTAGACCCGGTATTTGTTTCCCACCAGCCAAAATCCGCAATAGCTGGAACCAAGACCATGTTCAATCCCAAATCATGAAAATTCGACCTGACCTCGTCACCAGACTGCGCGCCATTGTCAGGCCGACCAAGATGATTCCGCCACAACGTGGCAGCACATCACCGAGACCTGACCCCCTGGGTCCCAAGACAGATGAGGACTTACCTGAGAGTTCGTTTTTCGTCTCACATGGGTCGTCAGGGATTGTTGATTTAGGAGCCAGCATGTCAGTCATAGGCCAGCGTCAGTTTTCAGATCTGTGTCATTCCCTCCCTGCTGAGATCCGAGGGCGGCTCAAAGAAGCCCCTTGTAATGTGAGCTTTAGATTTGGCAACAACAGCATGGTCACTGGAAAGAAAGCCGTGTTCTTTCCCATCGGTCCGTTTTGGATGAAAGTGATTGTGGTTCCCTCCAATACGCCATTTCTCATTGCCAACAGTGTTTTCAGATCTCTAGGTGCAGTCATAGACACGGATAGCAGCCAGATTTTTTCAAGAAGCTGGACCGAGCAATTCCAATCGTGCTCAATGAGCGGAAGCTGTATCGTCTTGACATGATGGATCTTTTGACCGCTCCGGTCAGTAGCACAAAAGGACTCTGCCAGAATCATGTCTCAATGTCGGAAGAAACGAAAGCAGCAGCCTTTCAAACGGTAGAACATGTCAATCCAATTCAGGAAAGCCCTATCACTGCTGTTTCGAAGCCGCTTACCGTAAGTTTTGACCCTGATGCAGCCGAACCATTTTCCAGAGCCGAGCAATCCCGGCTCAAAGATCAGATCGCTCAGCACGAACGAGTTGGTTTTGGTAGTCATGTCGACCGGCGGTCAGTTCGATCAGCTGGCAGATCGCCTTCGCCGTCTTCAACTGGACAATCAGGCCAGTTCGGAGGCCGTGGAGCAAGTGATGGAGATGAGCTTGGAAGAACTTCGAGAGTGCCGCATCGAGTTTGGAAAAGCCCATATGAACAAGCTCTTCAAGGAGATGGTGAACGAAGATCGTTATCTGACGTGGTTTGCAGAAAATTACCGCCACAGCCAGAAGATCTGCCACATGAAGTTCCTCCGCTTCATCGAGCTGCACCTGGACTATGTGGAGAACCAGAAGAACCAAACTCGACCCAAATCTCATGCCAAAGCCAAGGCCAAGCCAAAGGCCTCCAATCATGCAACACCTCATGCCCGGGACCACCCCGAGTTGCCTCACGACCCATGGCACCCCAGCTCCGACGAGGAGATCGAGAGCACGCCTTGGGAGCCAGTGGTCCATGCTGAAGAGATCAATCACATGAACGAACGCATGACCGAGATGGAGTCCGTCCTGCAGCAGATCCTGAGCCACCTGAATCCAAATGCTCAGCCTCACTCCATGGCCTGATGACAAAACATCAGGTAGCCGATCTCTGTGGTGTATGGCAAACATTGGCTGAACCTTCACAAGTGT